GGGGCTAGCAGATGGATCTTCGTGGTCGACGTTGTAACGGGAAGCCTGTTGTAACCACAACAGACGATTTCGTCGGCACACCAGTCGTGTTGGATCGGCGGGGCTCCGTGTCAACACTAGGAGGTCCCGTCCAGTTGACAGAGGTAGATAGCCGGGAGATGGGCCTGGCTTTAGGCTAGCTCAAGTGCTGTGCAGACAGTGCAGACTGGCCGATAATAGTCCAGGCTAGAGCTGGCTGGTAGGTAGTGCAGGCCACGGACAATGGTGAAAAACCACTAACAGTGGCTAATAGCAAGTAGCTAGTTAGCTAGCTACTGCCGTCCGGTAGACAGAGATGTAGATAGCCGGGATATGGGCCTAGCCCCCGGCTAACTGGTGCTTGCTTCGGGGGCAGTGGTGATCAGCCAAACAGCAACATCCATTCGGTTGCGGCTAGCTAGTTGTGATCCGGTGTTAATGTCCAGTGATTCAGTTATTCCGGCAGAAAAATCAGATGCTCTGGGTGAAAACCGCTAACGGTGGCTAATAGCAAGTAACTAATTAGCTGGCTAGCTAGTTTCAACTGGAGATTTTAGATAAAAGGTAAGTCAAAAATAGAATCCGTTCCACATTGAGTGAGGCAGGTTGCAAGAAAGTATATTTTGTAGAAGGATGAAAAGTGTGATAGGGAAATATGTACGAAAAATACAAAAAATACAAAAAACAGGCTATTTACACAGACACACAACAAAGAACACGACCGCACTGCTACGCCATCTTGGATTCTATCTTAAGAGGGTGTGAACAATGCTGAATGGGTGTAGACAGAGAAGAGCTCTCCAGTAGGTACCAAAACATACAAAGGCCATTTTCTCAAAATCAAATTTCAAAGCAGAATGACTTTCCCATTTTTTCTCAAATGCAGTGCATGATATACCATTTTGTAGCTCTGTCTGTGCTTTTATCCAATGTAAAAAACACAATTTCAAATTTTGCTACATAAGACCTAAATCAAGGCGGTCGGTCACATATGTTCTATATCTAGGGTCCTACTCATAGAGATACACCATATATACACTGCTCAAAAAAATAAAGGGAACACTAAAATAACACATCCTACATCTGAATGAATTAAATAATCTTATTAAATACTTTTTTCTTTACATAGTTGAATGTGCTGACAACAAAATCACACAAGAATTATCAATGGAAATCAAATGTATCAACCCATGGAGGTCTGGATTTGGAGTCACCCTCAAAATTAAGGTGGAAAACCACACTACAGGCTGAACCAACATTGATGTAATGTCCTTAAAACAAGTCAAAATGAGGCTCAGTAGTGTGTGTGGCCTCCACGTGCCTGTATGACCTCCCTACAATGCCTGGGCATGCTCCTGATGAGGTGGCAGATGGTCTCCTGAGGGATCTCCTCCCAGACCTGGACTAAAGCATCCGCCAACTCCTGGACAGTCTGTGGTGCAACGTGGCGTTGGTGGATGGAGCGAGACATGATGTCCCAGATGTGCTCAATTGGATTCAGGTCTGGGGAACGGGCGGGCCAGTCCATAGCATCAATGCCTTCCTCTTGCAGGAACTGCTGACACACTCCAGCCAGATGAGGTCTAGCATTGTCTTGCACTAGGAGGAACCCAGGGCCAACCGCACCAGCATATGGTCTCACAAGGGGTCTGAGGATCTCATCTCGGTACCTAATGGCAGTCAGGCTACCTCTGACGAGCACATAGAGGGCTGTGCGGCCCCCCAAAGAAATGCCACCCCACACCATGACTGACCCACCGCCAAACCGGTCATGCTGGAGGATGTTGCAGGCAGCAGAACGTTCTCCACGGCGTCTCCAGACATTGTCACGTCTGTCACGTGCTCAGTGTGAACCTGCTTTCATCTGTGAAGAGCACAGGGCGCCAGTGGCGAATTTGCCAATCTTGGTGTTCTCTGGCAAATGCCAAACGTCCTGCACGGTGTTGGGCTGTAAGCACAACCCCCACCTGTGGACATCGGGCCCTCATACCACCCTCATGGAGTCTGTTTCTGACCGTTTGAGCAGACACATGCAATTTTGTGGCCTGCTGGAGGTCATTTTGCAGGGCTCAGGCAGTGCTCCTCCTGCTCCTTCTTGCACAAAGGCGGAGGTAGCAGTCCTGCTGCTGGGTTGTTGCCCTCCTACGGCCTCCTCCACGTCTCCTGATGTACTGGCCTGTCTCCTGGTAGCGCCTCCGTGCTCTGGATACTACGCTGACAGACACAGCAAACCTTCTTGCCACAGCTCGCATTGATGTGCCATCCTGGATGAGCTGCACTACCTGAGCCACTTGTGTGGGTTGTAGACTCCGTCTCATGCTACCACTAGAGTGAAAGCACCGCCAGCATTCAAAAGTGACCAAAACATCAGCCAGGAAGCATAGGAACTGAGAAGTGGTCTGTGGTCACCACCTGGAAAACCAGTCCTTTATTGGGGGTGTCTTGCTAATTGCCTATAATTTCCACCTGTTGTCTATTCCATTTGCACAACAGCATGTGGAATTTATTGTCAATCAGTGTTGCTTCCTAAGTGGACAGTTTGATTTCACAGAAGTGTGATTGACTTGGAGTTACATTGTGTTGTTTAAGTGTTCCCTTTATTTTTTTGAGCAGTGTATATGTTCTTTATCTAGGGTGCTACTAAAGGCTCAGATGAAGGCCTCATATTTACCAAAACATAAGCCTACTTGTTTGTCCCGTGAATAAACTCATGATAAATGCAAACACAGAGTGCTAATTGTTCTCTATTTTTCATGGGATAGTCACCTGGGGAAGTGTCCTGGGGTGAGCAAACTTTGGACCAGCTTTGGATACAGGTAGGCCTACATGGCTTTTTAATCACATTCCCAATGTGCTTTTTTACTGTAGTGTCTGAATGTCCACTGGCCATGACCTACAGGGTGGGGGTAGGCCCAAACATGTGAAACAACACTGGCCATGACCTACAGGGTGGGGGTAGGCCCAAACATGTCAAACAACACTGGCCATGACCTACAGGGTGGGGGTAGGCCCAAACATGTCAAACAACACTGGCCATGACCTACAGGGTGGGGGTAGGCCCAAACATGTGAAACAAAATGTCATTTTGGCTTTCCGGAATTATGTTCTTCAAGCAACAGAGAGAGATAATAAAAGAGATGAAAGGAAGGAAGTTAACATTGAGGGACCTTTATCAAACACATCTAGGCTCACATTTGATATGTAGCAACTGTTGTCTAATGACCTTATTATTGAAGTGAGAACGTCTGATGAATATGCCTGTGACCACCGTGTGGTGTAAAATTGTAGTGAATTCTCTGTGTTCCCAATCATTTCCTGCTTGTGAAGTGAAAACCCGCAGACATACGGACTCCCAGGAATTGAGTTTGACACCCCAATATGTCAATGAGAGTTTCCTAATAATGTGGTCCCATATAACATTACGTGGTGGCGCTAAAAAGTGTGTTTTCACATTAATCTCTCTAGACAGACGGGTTGCCTCCCACAATAATGTACCAATGTTCCTGTTGCTCCAAGGTCTGGGTTTCAGAGACTATATTCACATGGTACATAGGCCAGTATTACAGTGTATAGGTCCACAATCACATTGTTGCATAGTACATTAGTCTGTGACAATTTGTTTGCAGTTTGTGGAAGTACAGAATTATTTTTTTATGTGTATTAGAATAGTAAACAAAGTTACATTAATTGTGGTAAAACCTCCCTTTACTTCAGAATGATTGCTTAGATTACAGTTATTTCCACGGTGAGCTTATTTGCAAATATTTGAAATTGTGCAAAGGACAAGCAGGTATATAAGTTATAAGAGTTATGTCACAATATGTACACAATGTATGTGTCTATGTAATTTTAAATACATAGGTTTTAAAGTGGGACCAGTTCTGTTTAGTCTCAATAGGAGACAAATGGTACTGGAGTCAGCCACCAGAGGGCTATAACATTCCTCGTGTTGGGCTTTGGATGCTGTTTATAGACTAGTATTCAGTGGACACCAACCGTTTCCTGGACAGCCTCTGGTGGGTGTGTAAGCTTTTGTTCCATCTCAACACTAACACCTGATACCAGTGTAATTTGCTTAATCGGCCTAATAATTTAATAATACATTTGACAATAATAAACTCTACAGTTAGGCTAATTACATTTCAATAACCAGATTCATCTGAAAAGTGGAATAAAAGGAAAGCTATAGACAGACTTACATTACAAATCCTGAATATTAAGACTATTATAAACACCCCGGCTTGCTGCAGTTGTTGTGATGATGATCCATCATAGGACGTTCTGCAGCAGCTGCGCACACTGTCATCACCGACTAGAGTTGAAGACCGGGAGACGACGACGACGACAAGGGGGGGGGGGGGGGTGTCAACGCAAAAACAGACTACCGAACCCGAAACCCCTACTACGCCCCCCGTGACAACTCCTCCTCACATTCCGGTGCCCTCCGTGACAACTCCTCCTCACATTCCGGTGCGCAAAAACAGACCACCGAACCCGAAACACCTACTACGCCCCCCGTGACAACTCCTCCTCACATTCCGGTGCCCCCCGTGACAACTCCTCCTCACATTCCGGTGGGTCGTCCGGTTATTGGCAAAGCCTACAATGAGCTACAGACTACAGCGGCTTCATAACGGGTTTGTCAGCGAATCATCGTGCTGCAGTTGTTATTTCGCGAGCCAGGACAGTCTCACTTGTGTCTTTCAAGCCAATGACTCTGCCCGCTTTCGTCATTCGCTCTTCAGTGTTACATCAGATAATAGTGACATCAGACTTTGATGGTGGACGTTTTATATTATTCCCTTGAACGGATATAATGGAGTGAATTGACCTGCACGAGAGGGGCAACCGTCAGCAGTTTTCTTGCGTGTGATGATAGGAGACACAATGACGCTGTTGTCTCTTTTGGGTCGGATCATGCGTTATTTCCTCCTCAGGCCAGAGACATTGTTTCTGCTATGCATTAGCTTGGCTTTATGGAGTTACTTCTTCCACACGGACGAGGTGAAGACCATCGTCAAGTCCAGCCGGGATGCCGTGAACATGGTGAAGGGGAAAGTGGCGGAGATCATGCAAAACGACAGGTTGGGGGGCCTGAACGTCCTAAACGCTGAATTCTCCAAAACATGGGACTTCAAAAACAACAATGTAGCAGTGTACTCCATTCAGGGGCGGCGCGACCACATGGAGGACCGATTCGAGGTACTCACCGACATCACCAACAAGAGTCACCCGTCTATATTTGGGATATTTGACGGACACGGTGGTGAGGTAGGTGCAGTGGCGATTTTAACATCTAAATCTTGGTGTTGCAAACTCCCCAATTTGTTTTGCTGCATGCCAGCTAAGCCACTACACAACACAACACAACACAGCACTAAACAATACATTAATTACACAATAACGGTGACGAACGGTGCCCACAAACGGTTAGGGCCTACATAAAGCTGTCCCAACAGCAGAGTCCCAACAGCAGTACTAACACCTTACCACTGCTACACCTGGCTATCAGCGGAGCCTTGTCTAGCAGCGAAACAGTTAATTCAGCCTCATTTACTGCCTTTAAAAAAAACATAGCTGATATGGCTGACTTGCTTAAACAAATGTGGTTTCTACTGACAATTGAGATGTATAAACTATGGCATAAGTGGATGATAAGCGAATAAAAGGCAATCCGTAATTTCGATTAAGACATTAATGAGCGAGCTAGGACGGTCATAGTCAATATAGTTACTATTTGTTCAGCGCTTTTGAAATGTAAGGCAGAATTCATAACATGGGCGGTTCTTACAGTATTCTCCCTGTACACCAAGTCAGAACCGTAGGAAAAATAAAGGGGGCATATAAGCAGACAATGAAAGCTCTTACAATATTTGATGATTACATTTCTCTAAAACAGTCTATAGGCTACATGTGCACCACCAAGTCAGAACAGTAGGCGACATTAAGAGGGGAAAAGGGACCAAATTATTAGGGTGAGGCACATGGGCTACTAACAGCTTACTACACAACATACACTTAGTATTACTTTTTTAGCTACAGTATACATATCTCCCTGGCATATTACATCATTTATGCAGCAGCATACAATACATTTTGGGACTCACTTTGTTGTGCTATCCTCACTTGAACAGGAAGGTGGCGCTGCGGTCCTTCTTGTGGCCACATTTTGTCATCAAACTTTGTAATCTAAGTCTGGCATTCTTTGGATGTATAGTGCTTTCAAGACAACTGGGAACTCTGGGGAAAAAAACAAGGTCGAATCATTATGTCAGTGATCTTCAAGACGGAGCTCTAGAAAGAGGCCAGAGTTCCCGACCGTTGGATGACCGTTCAAAACGTATTTTCCCAGTCAGAGTTCATTTTTTTCAGTTCCCAGTTGTCTTGAACTCACTGAAGTCTGAGATTTCCCAGTTCAGAGTTTACAGTTGTTTTGAACGCAGCAGAAGTCATGCTGGATTGACAGCATGGCCAATGTATTCAACCTTTTCTGGCCGATGGCATGTGAATGTTTATAATTTTAAGGTTGGAAAAGAGACCCTTAAACCCAGACTTGGACCACACACCCACTCCACTGAATAGCAGGCTAGTGATTGCTTTGCAACACTTGCAGTTAGCCACTGATTCCTTCCAAACCACTCATTGTTGAATTTGCGATTTCCTACTTGTTGTGTAATGTTTATGCCCAATGGCTGATGAGCACCGTTATGTTTTATCTATAATTTCTCTTCATATGACAAGGATTGAAAAGGATTTGCCAGTAGATTGTCAACTTGATTCATGATGATGACTGCTTGTCTAGCATGCTAGCTAAGATTTTGAAAGTATGATGATGACATGATCAGTCCAATCAAAGCTACGATACATATAAGGTGATTTGACGTCATTTTATCTGTGGCCAAAGACCTTGAGCCTTCTTGGATGGGCACTTCTAAAGTAAATCTATGGCAGCACCCAATGGGCTTGAATTTTTTTGCTCTCCCTGTAGATTTTGCGGTGACGAAGTGGCCCCATGAGTGACAGAACACTGAGCCAATCACAGCACAACTAGAGAACATTACCAACCCCTATGCTCCGTATTTTCAGCTGGCTGCCCCACCACCACAGAAAGCACTGAGCTAGGCTGAAATACCTGCATTTTGGAGCTGCCTTACTCAAGAAAGCAAAAAAGAGACCATGTTTATATGCAGCTTTATTAACTCAAATATTTATTTTTTACATTGTTTGCAAACTGATTTGTGACACGTATTAATGGCAAAATAACATGTAAAACAGGCAACACATTATTTATTTTTTGGCTAAACAGGTGGCTCAAAACAGGTGGGGCTCTGCACCTGCCCTGAATGACGGGTCCCAATGGGTAGGTGTCTCTCAAAACCATAGCCTAGTAAAAGAGGCCTATACAGTGAGGGAAAAAAGTATTTGATCCCCTGCCGATTTTGTACGTTTGCCCACTGACAAAGAAATGATCAGTCTATAATTTTAATGGTAGGTTTATTTGAACAGTGAGAGACAGAATAACAACAAAAAAATCCAGAAAAACGCATGTCAAAAATGTTAAAAATTGGTTTGCATTTTAATGAGGGAAATAAGTATTTGACCCCCTCTCAATCAGAAAGACTTCTGGCTCCCAGGTGTCTTTTATACAGGTAACGAGCTGAGATTAGGAGCACACTCTTAAAGGGAGTGCTCCTAATCTCAGCTTGTTACCTGTATAAAAGACACCTGTCCACAGAAGCAATCAATCAATCAGATTCCAAACTCTCCACCATGGCCAAGACCAAAGAGCTCTCCAAGGATGTCAGGGACAAGATTGTAGACCTACACAAGGCTGGAATGGGCTACAAGACCATCGCCAAGCAGCTTGGTGAGAAGGTGACAACAGTTGGTGCGATTATTCGCAAATGGAAGAAACACAAAATAACTGTCAATCTCCCTCGGCCTGGGGCTCCATGCGATATCTCACCTCGTGGAGTTGCAATGATCATGAGAACGGTGAGGAATCAGCCCAGAACTACACAGGAGGATCTTGTCAATGATCTCAAGGCAGCTGGGACCATAGTCACCAAGAAAACAATTGGTAACACACTACGCCGTGAAGGACTGAAATCCTGCAGCGCCCGCGCCCCCTGCTCAAGAAAGCACATATACAGGGCCGTCTGAAGTTTGCCAATGAACATCTGAATGATTCAGAGGAGAACTGGGTGAAAGTGTTGTGGTCAGATGAGACCAAAATCGAGCTCTTTGGCATCAACTCAACTCACCGTGTTTGGAGGAGGAGGAATGATGCCTATGACCCCAAGAACACCATCCCCACCGTCAAACATGGAGGTGGAAACATTATGCTTTGCGGGTGTTTTTCTGCTAAGGGGACAGGACAACTTCACTGCATCAAAGGGATGATGGATGGGGCCATGTACCGTCAAATCTTGGGTGAGAACCTCCTTCCCTCAGCCAGGGCATTGAAAATGGGTCGTGGATGGGTATTCCAGCATGACAATGACCCAAAACACACGGCCAAGGCAACAAAGGAGTGGCTCAAGAAGAAGCACATTAAGGTCCTGGAGTGGCCTAGCCAGTCTCCAGACCTTAATCCCATAGAAAATCTGTGGAGGGAGCTGAAGGTTTAAGTTGCCAAACGTCAGCCTCGAAACCTTAATGACTTGGAGAAGATCTGCAAAGAGGAGTGGGACATAATCCCTCCTGAGATGTGTGCAAACCTGGTGGCCAACTACAAGAAACGTCTGACCTCTGTGATTGCCAACAAGGGTTTTGCCACCAAGGACTAAGTCATGTTTTGCAGAGGGGTCAAAAACTTATTTCCCTCATTAAAATGCAAATCAATTTATAACATTTTTGACTTGCGTTTTTCTGGATTTTTTTGTTGTTATTCTGTCTCTAACTGTTCAAATAAACCTACCTTTAAAATTATAGACTGATCATGTCTTTGTCAGTGGGCAAACAAACAAAATCAGCAGGGGATCAAATACTTTTTTCCCTCACTGTATGTTCATCATCATTAATTACAGATAATAGCTTAAAACACATGGGATGCTGTTGAACTGTTAGCATCATTAGAGTCTGTGGTCAGCACAGCATTGGATTTGGAAAGAGAGAGGTAGGTCCAAACAAAACATGTTCCCACCCCAGCTTTCAGGATACATAAAACTATCACTCAAAACAGAGCATTTTGAAAGTCACACAGTCTGGGGCCATCCTAACCATGACCAGAATTTAAGTTGAGTAGACAGCACACGGGATGTTCCCCAATGCTGGAAGGGGGGCCCTGAGTGAAAACGTTTGGGAACCCCTGCAGTAGCCTATGCTTCATAGGGGGGAGGGGCAGGTCGCCTAAACACACACACAGGCAAAGATTTTCAGCAGGCAGGCATACACTGGAATACATTTCTGAGTGAAAGAGTGAGGGCTTAGCATAGGCGTTTTGTTGCATTATTTTGTGGGACTAGAAGAAAATGTCTGGAACGTAACAATGTTATTAACCGTTTCTGTTCCTTGAAAAATTTCGTTATTTTCCGGTTTTCGGTTCTGTACCCTGAACCGGTTCCAATCACTGCTTTTAACCATTGAACGTGCCACTCTATGACATTCAAATACACTCAACCTTATCTAAATAGATAGGCAAGATCCTGTTAAAGGGTAGGAAGCATGAATTTTTACTCACCAAAGTAACAACACAGTGTGGTCAAAGACTCAGTAACTTAGTTGTAGTCACAATCTGGTTACCTATAACTACAAACATAGTTATGTTTTAGCGTTTTTACATATTTATTAACTTATTTCCGGATATCTTCAGAACTACCCACAATGCACTATTTCTCAACGAAATAGTGCTACCTAGCTAGTTCCAGCTGGCTATCGGTAGCTACTACCCATGCTAGCGTGTAATTACATTCCAAACCAAGTGTTGGCGCTGGTGAGCTACTATGTACATAAATTAAAAACTGCAACTATTTTTCTCCTGTGCGTTTGGCTAGTGGTAGTCGATTGAGCGAGTGAGTATTGTAGTAGCTGTTTGTAGCTAGTTCAGTAATACCCACATAGTGCAGTAATACCCACAATGACAGGGTTATGACTCATTTGTGGTCCAATAATTTGTGTCTCAAAAACGAGAAGCAAGCTTTGAAGCTTAGTATAACCAGTGGATGGCAGGATTTGGAATGAGAGTTCCTGTCTGTGCTAGACTAGTTGTTCTCTGGCTTACTACTTAGCTATTTAGACCATGGTGGTTGGCTAGTTAGGTTAGTTAGCTGGCTAGCTAGCAGGCTAAAATAACTAACTTTAGCTGGCTGGCTGGCTTGCTGGCTAAGATAAATGCATATACCGGTAACATTATTTGATAACTGGTTAGATGGCGTTATATATTTAGAAAACTTTGGTTTACTTTAATGTAGCTGTAAGCTAGGTGTTGATAGCATCGTAACGTTAGCAGGCGAGTTGGCTAGCAATCTTGCAAGTGGATTTGTAACAATACATTCATAAAGTATTTGCTTGTAAGTTGGCTGAAAATAGAAATAGAAACCAGTAGTCATGAGTGCAATCAATTTGGTTTAATTTGAAGTTATACATTTGAAGTTATTTCTGTTGGAGTTTACATTATAGGGAATAGGCTGGCTTGCCTGGTCCTCCATATTACGTCACACCCATCAAATGTTTTTTCCGGCATTCTTTGGCATTCTTCGGAATTCTGATCAGTTTTATGTAATAACAAAAAAATTGAAAAGTCAGGTGTAACTTTGCATTGGGACTTTTGATGCGTATTCTAATGCAAATCCATATGTTACATGTGGTTACGTTTATGCTACCTTACCTTTAAGATAAGGGACCTCCTTGTCATTGTGTAGTGGAGGCTGGAGGGAGTCTGAAAGGGCAGGCTGTTTATATATCTATCTGGAACATTCAGCCTATTCCTATCCTATGATTAAATATTTAACCTTCCTGTCTGGTCCCCTTACCACCCCTGCTGTGTGTGTGTGTGTGTGTGTGTGTGTGTGTGTGTGTATGTGTGTGTGTGTGTGTGTGTGTTTGTGATCCCATTACCTTTCCTGTGGTCATGGTGACAGAGTGACATGCATGAGCTATGACTATCAAGGAGCGGGACTCTAACCTGGACACTTATAAGAAATCCCGCTATGCCCTCCGACGAACCATCAAACAGGCAAAGAGTCAATACAGGACTAAGATTGAATCATACTACAACGGCTCTGATGCTCGTCGGATGTGGCAGGGCTTGAAAACTATTACAGACTACAAAGGGAAGCACAGCCGCGAGCTGCCCAGTGACACAAGCCTACCAGACGAGCTAAATCACTTCTATGCTCACTTTGAGGCAAGCAACACTGAAGCATGCATGAGAGCATCAGCTGTTCCGGATGACTAAGTGATCATGCTCTCTGTAGCCGATGTGAGTAAGACTTTTAAGCAGGTCAACATTCACAAGGCCGCAGGGCCAGACTGATTACCAGGACGTGTACTCCGAGCATGCGCTGACCAACTGGAAAGTGTCTTCACTGACATTTTCAACATGTCCCTGACGGAGTGTGTAATACCTGTGCCCAAGAACACTAAGATAATCCCAACAGATCCACAGATGATTCAATCTCTATTGCACTCCACACTGCCCTTTCCCACCTGGACAAGAGGAACACCTACGTGAGAATGCTATTCATTGACTACAGCTCAGCGTTCAACACCATAGTGCCCTCAAAGCTCATCACTAAGCTAAGGACCCTGGGACTAAACAGCTCCCTCTGCAACTGGATCCTGGACTTCCTGACGGGCCGCCCCCAGGTGGTAAGGGTAGGTAACAACACATATTCTACGCTGATCCTCAACACGGGGGCCCCTCAGGGGTGCGTGCTCAGTCCCCTCCTGTACTCCCTGTTCACCCATGACTGCATGGCCAGGCACGTCTCCAACACCATCATTAAGGTTACCGACGACACAACAGTGGTAGGCCTGATCACCGACAATGATGAGACAGCCTATAGGGAGGAGGTCAGAGACCTGGCTGTGTGGTGCCAGGATAACAACCTCTCCCTCAACGTGATCAAGACAAAGGAGATGATTGTTGACTACAGGGAATAAAAGAGGATTGAGCACGCCCCCGTTCTCATCGACAGGGCCGTAGTGGAACAGCTTGAGAGCTTCAAGTTCCTTGGTGTCCACATCACCAACAAACTATCATGGTCCAAACACACCAAGACAGTCGTGAAGAGGGCACGACAAAGCCTATTCCCCCTCAGGAGACTGAAAAGATTTGGCATGGGTCCTCAGATCCTCAAAAAGTTCTACAGCTGCACCATCGAGAGCATCCTGACTTGTTGCATCACTGCCTGGTATGGCAACTTCTCGGCCTCCGACCTCAAGGCACTACAGAGGGTAGTGCGTACGGCCCAGTACATCACTAGGGCCAAGCTTCCTGCCATCCAGGACCTCTATACCAGGCAGTGTCAGTGGAAGGCCCTAACAATTATCAAAGACTCCAGCCACCCTAGTCATAGACTGTTCTCACTGCTACTGCACGGCAAGCGGTACCGGAGCGCCAAGTCTAGGTCCCCACGCCACCCCAACCCCCTCTTTTACGCTGCTGCTACTCTGTTTATTATTTATGCATAGTCACTTTAACTCTACCCACATGTACATATTACCTCAATTACCTCTACTAACCAGTGCCCCCGCACATTGATTCTGTACCGGTACCCCCTGTATATAACCTCCCTACTGTTATTTTATTTTACTGCTGCTCTTTAATTATTAGTTTGTTTGTTTTTTTTCTTAAAAACTACATTGTTGGTTAAGGGCTTGTAAGTAAGCATTTCACTGTAATGTCAACACCTGCTGTATTCGGCGCATGTGGCAAATAACATTTGATTTGATTTGATTTGGGCACTTTGACCTTGTTCTCAGTGGGAGTTTTGCCAGGAACACACAAATCAGAGCCCCCCCCCCCACACATACACACAAATACACTGAACACACAAACACACTGAACAAACACACACACAAACACACATTCTGAACACACAAACACACACACACTGAACAAACACACACACAAACACACACACTGAACACACACACACACACGCTCAAGTCAGAGCTTCGTATTTGAAATCAATTAGATTAGTTATCTTCCAATCATGGAATAGGGGTTTCTGGGTGACTTGATCATCTTTATTAATACATTTCCATCTGTATACCGGTGTATCAACTCCAACCCTGTTGCCTGGGTTGGGTTTGGTTTACTAGAGATAGTTGTGTGGGAACATGGAAGATGCCACGCTGAGCTATAAGGTTGGTCAGGTTCCCGTGAATGGCTGTGAAATAGCCCTTCATGCCTGTGATCTGGTCTTAGTTTGAGGATGTGTGATTGATGTAGGCCTCTTTGATCTGTTGGCAATAGCTTCTTGGTAGAAACCATCCATCTTTGTTTTGGAGTGGAACACTTAGTGTCTCGCCAGTCTCTTTGTCACAAACTGAACATTGGCCAACAATCCCCAATACACAGCTGCCTCCTCCTTCGCTCCCTCTTGTGACAAGAACCGAACCAATCTTTCACCATTTCTAGGCTGGAGCTTCTGTACCTCCTGTACTCGGCCAGCAGGGGGTGTAGTTCCTGCAGGTAGGAGCCCAGAGCCGCATGGGCAGCTGTCCCATTGTCCTGCTCCAGACGGGCTTGGTGCACCAGCATCTGGGAGTGGAAGGTGGCTCCGTTGACCCCGTGCTTGAGTGCCCGCGAGCTCATGTGGCCGTCATGCAGCATGGAGTTCTTCAGACGAGTCAGCTGGACACTGAGCTCGGCCTCCAGACGCCGTGTGTCATTCAGCAGGCGCTCGCTAGCCCCCACGTGCATCCGGTAGCGTTTGGCTGGGGCTCCAAGAGACCGGCTGCGCTGATCTCTAAGATCATGGAGACCACCAGAGCACCAATGCCCACTGCGTTGGGCACACTGCTCAGGCCGGCGAGAGTTGCACCAAGGCTGGCAACGTAGGCCGGGGCCTGGCTATCCACGAAGGCCAGCAGCTGGGCAGAGTGGTCCAGCAGCACGACCGACGCGTTGAGCCCAGAGTACCGCAGGAGGGAGTCGCCGATGCCTACATCAGGCAGGCCCCCTTGACTGTAGAGCTGGTTCACAAGGAAGGCCTGGTCCTCCTGAGAAATCACAAGGGGAAGGTTCCACAACATTATGAGTACTGCCAGAGGCACGTCAATAGAAACATGCACAGTAGACTAGGTGAGTGAGTTATAAGAGCATATGGGTATGTGTTGTGGAACCTTTGTGGCCGGGTGTGCGTGTTGAATTAAGCTATCCTGAGCTGAGCTCTTTTGGCAAGCATGTGGTGGGAGTAACAGAGGTGTGTTAGTTGGAGAGAGCACCAAACCCAACACACTCAGAGGACTAAATGTTCACCTTTTCAGTATGAACCTTTCGGTTAGCCAAGTCTCTAGAAGTCTGCCTTCAAGTCACAGGAGGGGTTTGTGGTAAATGTGAGGGCACATGTTCAATGGCTTTTTTTCTAAATAATCTTCTGCAAATTAAAATGTTTGCTTGTCCCCTGGTATCAAAAGGAGCTAAATGTCTCCTAAACAAATATCTGTGTACAGAACAGCTTGTCTCTGTCTGAGCAGTGTGTCCTTAAACTGCAAATATGTAGCAAATTCTCAACTATCTTTCCTTTTTCAATCTTTTCGCAGTTTAAAGACAAAGACAGACGTTTTCACGATGCAAAATATGCATTGAATTGAATGAAATAAGGTTGAATGCTCTTGGATGGGTAACTTTACATTCACTGTTCACTATTCAAGGCTCCCTGTGTTCCTCCCATACAAATTGAACGAATGAATGATTACACTCATACAGAGAGAGAGAGAGAGAGAGAGAGAGAGAGAGAGAGAGCGAGAGAGAGTAAGATTACTCACACTGGTGACTAATGAAGAGTCACCAGTGTCAAAAAATCATTTATTTTATACAATTTCCCTTCCTCATTACATGCCCCTCTCCTCTCTCTCAAATCAATCTGCTCCTATAATTATCACCATGAGTGAAATTAGTTTATTCGTTAATATCTCATCTGCCTCGGTTAATTGGATGGCTTGATTACAGGACTGATTAAAACACAACAACTGTTGATTGCAAAGTGTAACGAATATGCAAAAGACGACATGAGTCTTCGAGTCTCAAGTTTTGAAGAGTTTTGAACGCTTCTATAATGAAATATATATGAGCTTCCAGCAGCTGAATTAATATTCAATATGATGAACATGATCTGAGGAGAAAGGAGGCAGTGAAAAAAATGAAAGGGCCTGAAAAGAAGAGCAGGAAGGAAGGGGAATGGAATCAGTAAAATACTGAAAATACACCTCTAACTTTAGCGACAACGAAAACCACATTTCTACGTGTAGTAAAACCAAGGATATTTACTGTGCTTACTCAGGTAACAGTCATCTCAATATACAGTGGCTTGCGAAAGTATTCACCCCCCTTGGCATTTTTCCTATTTTGTTGCCTTACAACCTGGAATTAAAATTGATTTTTTGGGGGTTTGTATCATTTGATTTACACAACATGCCTACCACTTTGAATATGCAAAATATATTTTATTGTGAAACAAACAAGAAATAAGACAAAAAAACAGAAAACTTGAGCGTGCATAACTATTCACCCCCCCCCCCCCCCCCAAAGTCAATACTTTGAAGAGCCACCTTTTGCAGCAATTACAGCTGCAAGTCTCTTGGGGTAGGTCTCTATAAGCTTGGCACATCTAGCCACTGGAATTTTTGCCCATTCTTCAAGGCAAAACTGCTCCAGCTCCTTCAAGTTGGATGGGTTCCGCTGGTGTACAGCAATCTTTAAGATTCTCAATTGGATTGAGGTCTGGGCTTTGACTAGGCCATTCCAAGACATTTAAATGTTTCCCCTTAAACCACTCAAGTGTTGCTTTAGCAGTATGCTTAGGGTCATTGTCCTGCCGGAAGGTGAACCTCCGTCCCAGTCTCAAATCTCTGGAAGACTGAAACAGGTTTCCCTCAAGAATTTCCCTGTATTTAGCGCCATCCATCATTCCTTCAATTCTGACCAGTTTCCCAGTCCCTGTCGATGAAAAACATCCCCACAGCATGATGCTGCCACCACCATGCTTCACTGTGGGGATGGTGTTCTCGGGGTGATGAGAGGTGTTGGGTTTGCGCCAGACATAGCGTTTTCCTTGATGGCCAAAAAGCTCAATTTTAGTCTCATCTGACCAGAGTACCTTCTTCCATATGTTTGGGGAGTCTCCCACATGGCTTTTGGCGAACACCAAACGTGTTTGCTAATTTCTTTCTTTAAGCAATGGCTTTTTTCTGGTCACTCTTCCGTAAAGCCCAGCTCTGTGGAGTGTACGGCTTAAAGTGGTCCTATGGCCAGATAGTCCAATCTCCGCTGTGGAGCTTTGCAGCTCCTTCAGGGTTATCTTTGGTCTCTTTGTTGCCTCAGTGATTAATGCCCTCCTTGCCTGGTCCGTGAGTTTTGGTGGGCGGCCTTCTCTTGGCAGATTTGTTGTGGTGCCATATTCTTTCCATTTTTTAATAATGGATTTAATGGTGCTCCGTGGGATGTTCAAAGTTTCAGATATTTTTTTATAACCCAACCCTGATCTGTACTTCTCCACAACTTTGTCCCTGACCTGTTTGGAGACCTCCTTGGTCTTCATGGTGCCGCTTGCTTGGTGGTGCCCCTTGCTTAGTGGTGTTGCAGACTCTGGGGCCTTTCCGAACTGGTGTATATATACTGAGATCATGTGACAGATCATGTGACACTTAGATTGCACACAGGTGGACTTTATTTAACTAATTATGTGACTTCTGAAGGTAATTGGTTGCACCAGATCTTATTTAGGGGCTTCATAGCAAAGGGGGTGAATACATATGCACGCACCACTTTTCCGTTATTTATTGTTTTGAATTTTTTTTAACAAGTTATTTTTTTCATTTCACCAATTTGGACTATTTTGTGTATGTCCATTACATGAAATCCCCAAAAAAATCCATTGATATTACAGGTTGTAATGCAACAAAATAGGAAAAACGCCAAGGGGGATGAATACTTTTGCAAGGCACTGTACAGAGCTTTAACATCATCATTGGAAACCAGTGTTAACCTTCATACCCATCAGGTTTGGCCCATGGTAATTGATTAGTCATTATTAATTCATTCCTGATCATGCATGCATTATTCTTGGAAATTAGCAAAGCAACCAAGTGTGCATTTGAGCATGCATATTAAAATATCTTACATAGAGCCTCCATTCACCCAGTGCTGTATGTAGACACATTAATTAGCTGTAGACAGCCTTCCACATTGAAACCCTTTCTACATACAGTATAAAATGTGCTCGGTCAAATATAATTTATCTGGTCTTGCACTATGTATAGCTTCTGTTTGTATATCTCTGGTAGCTCCTAGAAAACATTGGTGTCTTTGAGTGTCATGTCGTGCCTTTGGTGTGTATTTCAATAATTGTGTTGTGTTTTTAACTTGTACTTTGGGGTCAATACACACACAAAGGTACAGACACATGCATACGCATACATTGTGATATTGTTGTATGGTGGTATTAAACATTTTTTATTGTAGATATGTAGTGGTGTAATAATGTTATATGATGTACTGTTTTATATTTTGTTTTATATGTAATGTAAGTGCTTTAATGTGTTTGGACCCCAGGAAGCGTAGCTGCTGCCTTGGCAGCTGCTAATGGGGATCCCTAATAAATACAAATACAAATACAAATGTATTTCAATATGAAGAACTTGTTTGGACTTTTAATTCAGATTGAACAATTTCCATTATATAAACAGACATTTTGAAACTAAATGTCTGATACTCTCTGTTTACATTGGCGGCTATCTCCTGGCTGTGCTCTGGCAAAAGATGGGCATTTAGACAGACACTTTCTCAAGGACACAGGCTATCAGTCATTTACAGCATCGGAGGCGGAGGCTCACAACACTGCTGAACACAGACAATAAAAATGTGCCTCGTTCAAACATTTCATCTGGATTCATTCGGCTACAGGCAAAAAAACAAGCATTCTGTACCTCTGTACAAGTAAAAGTATCAACCAATCATCGGAAAGTCGACCGGTCAAATACCTGAAATTCAACCAAAACCGTGATGAACAACTTTCTAAATACTTATATTGCTCTCTTTCTCTCCCCCCTCTCTCCCCCCTCTTTCTCACTTCGCTCCCTTCTCTCTCCCCCCTCTCTCCCACCTCTCTCCCTCCTCTCTCCCACCTCTCTCCCCCTCTCTCTCCCCTCTCTCTCTACCCCTCTCTCCCCCCTCGCTCTATCTCTCCCACCCTCTCTCCCCTCTCCCCCCTCTATCCCTCTCCCCCCTCTCTCTCCCTCCTCTCTCCCCCGTATCTCCCCCCTATCTCTCTCTCCCTCATCTCCCCGCTCTCTCCCTCCTCTCTCCCTCCATCCTCCTCATCTCCCCCCTCTTTCCCTCCTCTCTCCCCCCTCGTCTCCCTCCTCTCTCCCCCCCTCTCTCCCTCCTCTCTCCCCCCTTTTTCCATCTTTCACAGGCTGCGGCAGACTATGTAAAGGCCCACCTTCCAGAGTCTCTGAGGCAGCAGCTGCTGTCCTATGACAGGGAGAAGAGGGAGAGCGTTCTCTCCTACCCCAGCATCCTGGAGCAGCGTATCCTGGCCATAGACCGAGACATGGTGGATAAGCTCTCCGCCAATCACGATGAAGCAGGTGAGGGACTGTAGAAGTGCTGATTTAAGATCAGTTGAGCCTTTTAGGTCCTAGATCAGCACTCCTACTCTGAGACGTTTTATGAATACGAGCATAGGTCTGACGGGTAAAAAATGTGGCAATAATGTGGAGTGGTTAAGACAGTAGGTCAGATACACTATATATACAAAAGTATGTGGACACCCCTTCAAATTAGTGGATTCGGCTTTTTCAGTCACATCCGTTGCTGACAGGTGTATAAAATCAAGCACATAGCCATGCGATCTCCATAGACAAACATTGGCAGTAGAATGGCCTTACTGAAGAGCTCAGTGACTTTCAACGTGGCACTGTCGTAGGATGCCACCTTTCCAACAAGTCAGTTCGTAAAATGTCTGCCCTGCTAGAGCTGCCCCGGTCAACTCTAAGTGCTGTTATTGTGAACTGGAAATGTCTAGGAGCAACAACAGCTCAGCCGCGAAGTGGTAGGCCACACAAGCTCACAGAACGGGACCACCGAGTGCTGAAGCACGCAGCACGTAAAAATTGTCTGTCCTCATTTGCAACAGCTCTGCACTGCAGCATACATAGGCAGGCTAGCTAAATAGGATGACTAAAGACAGTACAGTATGGGGAGCACAGAGATTACTTTAAGGAATGAAAAATAATAGTATTCAAATAAAGTAATATACACAGCTGACAATTTTTATTATTTTATAGTAATATTCTATTTTTCTATTGATTTCTACCCAATGTGGACCTGACCGAGAGAATGGAATATTTTCAATGTTTTGGCAATTGAATGCTCACTATTTAGAATTTCCATTTAAAAGCTCTAAAATCATTGTAATTTAATGTTAAAAAAGTAATCGAAACTGAAATTGAAAACCGTGAATATTTTTTAATAATCTAACCGAAACTGAACCGACTTCAAAAAGCACTAATCGCTCAGCACTACGCTCAGCACTACTCTCAGCACTACGCTCAGAACTACTCTCAGCACTACTCTCAGCACTACGCTCAGCACTACGCTCAGCACTACTCTCAGCACTACGCTCAGCACTACGCTCAGAACTACTCTCAGCACTACTCTCAGCACTACGCTCAGAACTACTCTCAGCACTATGCTCAGCACTACGCTCAGCACTACTCTCAGCACTACGCTCAGCACTACTCTCAGCACTACGCTCAGAACTACTCTCAGCACTACTCTCAGCACTACGCTCAGCACTACTCTCAGCACTACGCTCAGAACTACTCTCAGCACTACTCCCCGTTTTACTCTTTTTTACAGCTGTTGAACACAACAATGCTTAAGACAGGGTCAGAGTTGACAAATCCAAATCACTTTATGCATAAAAAATATATATAAAAAATGTACATGTAAAGCACTTTTTCGATTTTTTACAGATTTGGTCTGTAGAAAAGTAAAGCCGTATACATCAAATGTATATTTATTATGGCGGAGGTGAAATGTCTCCATGGAGATGACCTTTGGAAGATCAAGACACAAAGTCAGTGTTATTATACGCCGGTACACAGAGCCACTTTGTTGCCCTGAGATATTTATTGTCAGCCCTGAGAAATGGATTAGATGCCTGTACTGGAAACAGTACCTTATAAATAACTGGATTGTCAATGGAGGAGGATGACATGAAAAGGTAGACCTTTGTCAGATAAGTTAGTAGGGCCTTCACTCCTGTTACCTGGACTTTCATAGCTGTGATGGAAATACAGCATGGCTCTCAGTATTTTGGTTGGTTAGCAGACCTTGGTACACTTGTGGTATTCTGAGAATGAGAATCACAGGTGAAAAACATGTGAACTTAAAGGTTCATTACACTCAGATGTTTTCAGACCTTCACAGTAGTCTAATGTCAATATGAGCCCACGTCGCAGGCCATCAGTTGTGTAGATCATCTATGGTTTTGGAATGTAATTTCCCTTTAAATTGAAATATCACCTCTGTCTCCCTCTCTCAGGTACTACATGTCTGGTGGCCCTGCTATCGGACAGGGAGCTGACGGTGGCCAACGTTGGGGACTCACGAGGCGTGTTGTGTGACAAGGACGGAAACGCTGTGGCATTGTCACATGACCACAAGCCATACCAGCTGAAGGAGCGCAAGAGGATCAAGAGGGCAGGTGAGTGGACCACCAGCATGGGTCAACAGCACCACAATGCTATGGGGACGTTAAAAAGACGTGTTTGTGTCAAACCTAGCTAAACTCAACAGAGTGAAGTCACACATTGGGGTGGGTTTTCTGGATCAGATTAACCTTAGTCCTGAACTTAAAAACACTTTGAATGGAGAACTGCTTCTTAGTCCAGAACCAGGCTTAATCTGTCCAGGAAACCTGCCCTTAGTGTTCAGCACAGAAACAAAACACACATACCATCTTATTGGCTGTGGAATGTAGTGCATAACGTCATGGCAACATAAAATATTTCCCACACTTGAGCAGATAGCAATGGCACACTAGGATGAATCACTAGAATGAATTAGTGTCAAATGGAGAGACTGCAGAATTGCAGCCTTGACTCACCACCTGTTGGCCCTCTTTGGAAGTGCAAGAGGAGTTGAATATATTACTTGCTCTGACAAATGATAGGAATCACTGCTATGCTGAGGTGGCTTTGGTAAATAGAATATCTATAGAAATATAGATATAATGTCATTTGACTGTGATAGAGAAATTCCCTTGCTCCGTTTGCACTTTTTTCTGTGTTGTTTTCCGTGTACACAATCAATGACAAATGTCCCAGTGTGAGATAATAAAGTTACCGACAGTTTAATCAAAGTGCATTGCACTTCCATCCCTTCACCACCAGGGGGCTTCATCAGCTTCAACGGCTCGTGGCGCGTCCAGGGCATACTGGCCATGTCTCGCTCGCTTGGCGACTACCCCCTGAAGAACCTCAATGTGGTCATCCCTGACCCCGACGTGTTGACCTTTGACCTGGACAAGCTGCAGCCCGAGTTCATGATCCTGGCGTCGGACGGGCTGTGGGACGCCTTCAGCAATGAGGAGGCGGTGCGTTTTGTGCGCGAGCGCCTGGACGAGCCGCACTACGGTGCCAAGAGCATCGTGCTGCAGTCTTTCTACCGTGGCTGCCCCGACAACATCACCGTCATGGTGGTCAAGTTCAAGAGCGGCCCTGTGGGGAACAAGGCTGAGGAGTAGAGGCGGTGATGAGGTCACGATGAGGTCACAAGGTCGTGTTATAGTTAGACTCTTCTACCATATGGATAGTGCAGCAAGCAATCAATGGGGAGGATTGGGAACTGTTGCAACCTGCATACCTGGCATTCTCTTTGACACGCATGTACACCCACACCAACACCCTAAACTATGTTGTTTGTTTTTCATTTCTGACTATGACTTTTGGATAGAGAAGTATTTTTGTTTGAATTATGGCCTTAACTCTGAAGCTGGAGTGCTTGATCATCTTGACACACACACACAGAGAGAGAGAGATCACCTCTTCTTCATCACTGAGAAGATGACTCTCTGACTCAAACAGTACAGCAAACTGATCTACTGTTCTCTGTACACACTCTGGCAGTGTATTCTACTGTCACAGGACTGATAATGTTCTGAAGAAAATTGTTTTTAAAAAATGCATCTTTGAGAATTTCATTTTTGTGGAATGTAAATCAATGAGAGAGCTAGCTCCAGCCATTGCCTTTTTCGTCAACATAGTCTTAACAGGGATGATGTTTAGTTACTGTATTATGGTACTGGACCTGTATAGGGCATTTGTTTAGCCTATCCATGTTTGGGAAAGATCTGTGGATTTTAGCACACAGGTGTTGATGCCTTCGACCATGGGAATCGTACGGACTGGGAGGTGCAACTCAGACTGCTTATTAAAGCACTGTTACCCATGGTGACCGACTTGAAGGCTACACAGCAGAAACAGGAAGGCTAATTGCCAGTAATACGCATATGATGCAATATGATTGGAGTGAATACTGATGTGTTAATAAGGTCAGGATCAAGTTAGAGACCAAGGATGGGCAACTTTGCTCCGAGAGCAGCAGTGCGTGCAGGGTTTTGTTCCAGCCCAGCACACCTGATTCTAATAGATGGTTATCCAGGACAAGAGTTGGCCACCCGTGTGTTAGTTTTACTACTGTTCTACTGTATTGAAAACTACTATTACGACTGTATTTACACAGGCTCACCTCAGAATTAGACTTTCATCCATGTTTCTCAAATGTCAAAATTCGAAGTTGTTCCAAACAGCAAATTGTTTAAGGTTATGTTTAGGCATTAACTCAAAATCTTTAAGGTTAGGGTAAAGTTTAGGCATTAACTCATTATTCTTAAGGTTATACATTAACTCTGAATGGTTAAGGTAAGTGATAAGGTTTGGGATAGGCTTAAAACCAAAATATAAAAACAACTTTCTATGGCTGGATTCGAATATGCAACTTTTGGAACCAGATGCAGATGCTTACGCCCACCCGCCATCCCCGTCTACAACGCCCTAGCAAAACCGAAACCTACTTGACGGTAACAACGCTCACTGTTGTCCCTAGTGGCCGGTTTCCACTTTATCTCCCGGAGTCCTCAGACATGAATGGACATCGAATACTGACTTGTATGAGGGGGTGACCTGCCTGGTATTTCATAGGATAATTTTTTGCTTAAAAAATAATAATATATATGTTATATTATCACATACACCGGATAGGTGTTGTGTACAGGGTCAGCCATAGTACGGCGCCCCTGGAGCAAATTAGGGTTAAGTGCCTTGCTCAAGGGCATATCAACAGATTTTTCATTTTGTCGGGTCGGGTATTCAAGCCAGCAACCTTTCAGTTACTGGCACAACGCTCTAACAGGTAGGTAACCTGCTTCCCTATGATGTGGCAAACCTTTTATAATTTAACAATGTACCTTAATTGCCTTATTTATTTGTTCCGTTTTAATGTTATTGTCAAAAACAAAACATACACAGCCGTTTATTGTTCACATGTACATATGCATAAATCGATAATGCAACAAGCATCACTTGTAGACAGTTCACCAACAAGTCACTCATATAATCTGCCAAACACAAAATGTATGAATTTGCTGAATGCAGTCTGTCAGTATTAAAATTCAACTCTACCATGTCAAATGTTGTTTTTGTTTGTTATTCCTGCCAATTTGAAAGAGTGTGCAGAGAGACTATTTAGCTTCTACTGCGCTCTCTGGTTTAACACAGTACATTTATTTTTTACATTATGGGTCCAATAACAATTCATTGAAAATCTATAATACAGCAAAATGATTAATAAATGGGTCACAGATTGGGCTGACCTCTGTTGCCTATTCATGTATGGCAATGTGTATGTGACCTTTCTGTAGCCTACAAACGAAGTATGGCCGCCAAGAAACAGTGCAGTATTTTCTGGGGCCGGTGAGAAACCACAATGACGCACGCACATACCAAGCCAAACAATCATATCTCTGTATTCATGTTTCTCGCTTCACCTGTGTGTTGGATTGTCACACATGAATGAATACGTCTCCCATCAGTCACGTCATGACACTAAACAATTGATTGGGTTTCATTTGAAAATCCTCAATCATGACAACAAGCATAAGAATGTTTGGGCTGGTGAGATCACAGCCAGAAAGAAAGCTATGACGTCGTTGAAACACTTCTGGGACCGCTAGACACGGGCACAAATAGCTCTGTCTGCGCCATAACTCCAGTAACCAAACACCCTACCACTAGCTACAGAGGCTTGGCAGTTGTTGGCGTGCGTTGCCTAGAAAGCACGCAAGCTAGGGGCCAAGTCAAAACTGACGGCCGGTGCCAGGTGGAACTGGCCTTAGAATAGCATGTAGGCCTACATTTGTAAAATATCGAATGTGCAAAATGCCAGAGACATGTGTGGTAACGTTCAACAGGCTTTCCGTAAACCAAAGTCACTGTACTTAACGCCACCTTACAGGAAAGCTAACCTCATTATTATGGACACTGAGCCTCTGTAAGAAGAATTCGGTCATTGGGCCAAGCGAGACAAGTGTGTATCAAACAGCAGCACAAGTGACGAAAGACGGGACCTTTGAGGGTGTTTGCAATTAGGGTCTCTATCTGAGCTTTGGTTCTTCGGGAGCTGACTCAAATCTGCTTTTGAGGTGAATTTGGGCTTAGTTTTGAAAAATGGGTCAGCGCGGTTCCAAGCCCACTGTAGTAGAGGCGCATGAGCTTTTCCAGTGCTTAGGTGCGCGGGCGCCGGTGAAACGCAATTCAATGTATCAGAAAATTAACGAATGCGCCACACTTGCCCTTACTATCCAGTTCCAAGAGACGGTGAAGAGGCCGGACCTTTCGTATGACGCCGGAGTTCAGGAGAGGAGGACACGACCCCACTCATGGCACCACAGCCGCCGCGACACGGGACTAGTGTATGTAATGGATGACCCGACGGGTGGAGTTTGGATGAAGCCGAGAAAGAAATGGACAAGATCCTGAAAAAGAGGGAAATCTATGTTTTTAAATCGGTCTCTATTCGTGAGAAAGTCTAGCATTCTCTATTAGGGTGCATCTTGTGCTTCGGCGCAATCGCGGTGAGTAGTCGCCGCCGCGTATTTGTGCAGGGTGTCTCTCAAGGGGACAGAAGTTCAGTGATTGAGAGACGTTTCAGGGGGATGTGCTTGACCGCACCACCTTGCACTGACCAGTGAGGAAAGGATTTCATTGGATTGATTACTCTCTGGGTGCATGTTATCCAGCAGATTGTTATCATCCACTGTCCTAAGGTTAATACACCAAAAGTTGTTTTATCATGAATTTATCTAATATTTGTGGATGAAAATGAATGCATGCTTGGAAGCACAGCCTAATCAGGTGCCTCCACTCTGGAGTCGCCTTCGTCCATTCATTGTGCCATTGTTCATTGCTCACATGTACATTTTCTTTGACGTGTTATCCAGCATGAACAACTTTCATTTTATCCTGTATATTCATAGCCCTGCCTATTCAGTGAAAACATATTCAAGCGCAATTCATGTGTCAACTATTTAAAAACATGTGGAATGGACTTTATAACAGGCTCGAAAAAGTGGATTATCTTGTCACACCTGCAGTCGTAGGCTACCTGCTGGCAGAAAATGATACCGCCATCTAGTGGATGAGAACATGTATGTCTATATCAATGACTACAGCAAAGATACTTCATTTCTCTTTTTTTCTTTCTCTCTGTGACTAGTCTTCTCATCTCAACCCTTACAAAAAAAAGATTGCAGTTTTGAAACTGCAGTAAAAGTGCAGTAACTGCAATCGACTATGGTAATTTGAACGCAGTAATTGTAAGGCAGTTATACTGCACTCTGAACGCAATCTTTTTTTTGTAAGGGAAACAACTGTATCGGTAAAACTGAAGAGATATGCCAAGGGCAGGAGCCATACCTATGAACTTCGACTTGGACTTTTTCGTTAGATGTTTTTGACATGTATGGCGACTAGCCTACTACTGCATCAAAAACAATCAAGAAAACCAGGGTTTGATTATCTTGTATGTCTTTTTCTCTTTCCAGCCTGAGTTTGGAAATACACTCATCTGTTTCTGTTTTGTGATAGGCTGTATTTGTAGTCAGCAACTTGATGGAACCCTTTGGCATTTACAGTAATATGAAGGAAGAAATTCTACCGTGCAAAAATTGGTTGAGTTAATGTTGTTTCCATTACATTTCAACAAAATAATTCAATGTGATGACATTGAATCAACGTGGAAAACGAATTAGATTAGCAAGAAATCATCAACATAAGGGAATTTCGTATTTTTTTCACCCATCTTTTAACTTAAATCCAATGACATGGTGCATTTTTGTTGTTGTTGACAACTCAACCAAATGTAAATCAAAACTAGACATTGAAATGACGTTTGCGCCCAGTGGGTATGGAAAGATCACGTGTATATTTAACCAAGCTTATGTAAACTGGCAACACAATCTCACACTCAATTCGTCCAAATATGTACAAAAAGTATTTCAACTGATTTGTGCGTTTTTGTGTGTTTTTGTGTGGCTTAATTAGTGTGAAAACACACACATTTTTGTGCAAAATAATTCGTAGGAAAATACACAAATTTTTGTGCGACTTCATTCATAGGAAAATTAATTTTTTGGGGGTCAAACTTTGGAACAAGCTTTTGAAAGTTATTAGAGCAATGCATGATGGGCAATGGTGTTCTACACTGCCTTTTGTTTCTGTCCCACATTTATTTATATAAAAAACCAAACGTGTTAACAACCCAATATTGTTAATCAACCAGGTTGTTACCGAAATAATTATATAATATAGTAGTAGCCTTACGTTCTTGTTTTTTGTTTATGTAGGCAACAGTAGGCCTACACAATTTTCTTCATAATGCATTTCATATTTCGTGGAGTCTATATTACACAATTTCTTTCATAATGCATTTTACACAATGCTACATTTTATGAGGGTTGCCAGATTGGAGAAAAAAATACAAAAAGTCTTTTTTTTTGTTCTTTTTTTTTTTGTAGTATCGATGAAGGTATTTGATTGGGGTATGGGGATACATTTTTATAATGGGAAATTATAATACACACCATAATACACACACACACACACAAACACTTCCGCACATATACACACTCACTTTGTTTGTACTCATGTTATTGCCAACTCTTGACTTTTGTATGAATTATTTTTTATAAAATATTTGTATCTCGTTGTCATGTATTCATTATCTTTAACTGGTTAAATGTTTGTAGTTTGCGTGTTTCAGTAATGGTTCAAATGGTTAAATAGTCATATCTCTGCTTGATTTAGCTTTTGATATATTTTGAATTTTTATACATATTCTGTATTTCCACTGAAGAAAGCAATAATTAATCAACACACTACTGTAAATAAATGGACACTACCTGTTATAAAACGGAAATTGTTCTCTGTAAATAAATGGTGAGAAATGCTCAGTCTGAAGCCATTTGGCTATGGGGTTCACAGCCCTATAATAATGATACAAGTTATATCACCTTAAAAAGGGTTTATTTACAACCTCTGGGGTATAACATGTTGGGCAAAGTGGTACAGGAGAGTCTGACATATAACCCCTAACTTGAGATCAGTCTTCACCAATGAGAACCAAGAGGGGACTAGCTTTGTCCTTCATGACTGGGAAAAGCCTAAATTCTAGGCCGTAGAAAATCCTACATCCATCTCATTAGATCAGAACAGGATAGATCAACAGTGATTCATATCACTGGTTTGCATCCTAAAAAAGGATAGTTGTGTTTTGCTGCATAACACACTTACATTATTTGTCTACCCATATGATGTGGATCATTGTCAGGTTATTTGATATACAAGCTTCAGTAACAAAATAACACCATGGTTGTAATAACACATTAAACAGGTAGTTTGTAAATGTGTAGAATCTGTTTGTTTTTGGACTACACTAGTGAGTTAACTTATTTAAATTAGACAATCGATTTTCTTCTGAATAACTGGTCAGGGCATAGCACTTTCCATTCAGCTTTGGGCAACTTTGATGTAAGGCTTGATCACACCTGTATTGACTACTTCTATCCATCACACCCATTGTTGCTTATCCATTGTTCACTAGATATATCAATGTAATTGCACCCAACACAATGTTGAAAAACAGAATGTTTCCGACCACTAGATCACATAACTAGACGTGAGCTGGACGTGATCCCAACGCTGCCACCAATGTAGCGGAAGAAAGTGAAAGCTGCAACAGGGACTGAGGCACTACTGGAAGAGCTTCTATCAGGACACAGCGGGACTGGTGTTCGTGGTGGACAGCTCCGACAGGCGCCGGTTGGACGAGGCCCGGCGGGAACTGGATCACGCCCTGAGGAGTGAATTCTTGCGGGGTCTGCCTGTGGTCATCCTTGCCAACAAGCAGGACCTTCCCGAGGCCGTATCTGTCACGGAGATAACGGACACCATGGTTGTAATAACACTTTTAACAGGGAGTTTGTAAATGTGTAGAACGTGTTTGTTTTGGGTCCACACTAGTGTGTTAACTTATTTGAATTAGACAGTCACAGACAATTTTCTTCTGAATAACTGGTCAGGGCATAGCACTTTCCATTCAGCTTCGGGCAACTTTGATGTAAGGCTTGATCACACCTGTATTGACTACTATCCATCACACCCATTGTTGCTTATCCATTGTTCACTAGATATATCAATGTAATTGCATCCAACACAATGTTGAAAAACAGAATGCTTCCCACCACTAGATCACATAACTAGACGTGAGCTGGACGTGATCCCAACGCTGCCACCAATGTAGCGGAATAAAGTAAAAGCTGCAACAGGGACTCTAACCAGGGCTCATACATGGCAAAGTGAGCTCTAACGGCTGTTGCCATGAAAGCCTAGTAGGCCTCTGGGCAGAGGCAGTAGACCTACAATGCTGGCATATGCCTTGTTACAATAGCCTAAGTATATAACATGATTGACACGACCGTAATAATCATCATGAAACGGCCTTGCAAGTGCCATAAGTGTAAGCCAACATAATGCATTATTTTACATTAACCTATTTAACTGCATTGATATGGCTTAATTGATCATAGTCCAGACTCCTTATAGTTGCAAATACCATGCAGTTGCACCAGGGGAATTTAAACCAAACTGTTTTTTTTTGTTGCAGGTATTCAGTTTACCCACATTTATTGATGAATTAATTTCCCATCATGAAAATGTATCCCCATTCCCCAATCAAATACCTTCATCGATGCCACAAAAAAAACTGACAAATACAGCTATTTACTCCAATCTGGCAACCCTCATAAAATCCAACATATCACCAGTATCCAAAAGTATTAAGCGAAAACAAGCATAGAAAACAGCATTGGCATTAATAAAAAATAATTTAAAAAATAAACGTAAGGCTACTATTTTATTATAAGTATTTCAGTGACAACCTGGTCGATTAACAATATTGGGTTGTTAACACGTTTTTTGTTTTATAAATAAATGTGGGACACAAAAAAAGGTAGTGTAGAACACCATTGCCCATCATGCATTGCTCCAATAACTTTCAAAAGATTGTTCAGAAGTTTTCCCCCAAAAACTGTATTTTCCTATGAATTAAGTTGCACAAAAATGTGTGTATTTTCCTACGAATTAAGTCGCATACATTTTTGTTGTATTTTCACTCTAATTAAGCCACACAAAAACGCACGAAATCTGCTGAAATGCTTTTTGCACATATTTTCACGAACTGAGTGTGAGATTGTGTTGCAACTGTCTATGACCAGTCAGTTTAAACGTAATACTAGGCCTGAAGGCTACAGGCAGCAACAGAACCAAGCAAATATTTGTTATTTCTTTCTCTTTCTTTCTATCTTTCTTTCTTTAATCTAAACAGCTTTGGAACTGTTCTGCATTGTTTGATATGTAACTTAATGTAAATTATATTGCCTGCCTGATGGTTTTATTGTGATTAAAGGTATCTGTATCTGTCAGATTGAAGTGGAAAATGCAATATACTCTATATGATGTCCTAATGGCCCATAAATTATTATCTATAGGCTAGGCTACACATGACATATCTAATGGTTGCCTCGCCCTTAAGTACATCTGAATGATATGTTATATAATGATATACTGATATACTGTTATCTGATGATATAGAGGGTGCGTGCGTTCCTCTCCATGCATACACTTCAATTTTACGCAAAGGTCAGACCACTCGAGGTGACGCTTCAATGTGTCTTTAAGCACGTTAAATACGATGCACAGGGATGATTTTAACATGTGAAGTGTGATAAAAAATTGTTTTACAAACATTAGGCTATCAAACCTGTGCATGTGCCACATTGTATTGTTCGTGTCAACAGCGCATTGATTTGAGTCACGCTAAACTGACTCATTTGGTGGATAATTTCCCAACCAAACAACAGTCATATCCTGCTTCATATAGGGCCTACTTTGACCCTTGCTTATCGGTGAACGCAAGGTTTATAGGTATCATGTAATCGCTTACCTGGTAACAGAAAGGCAACGCACTGGGTAAACACTGCAGCTCGAGGCAGAGAACAGTGACATAAGGTGATATGTCTCCCTGATTTGCATCTTTGTCACTAAGTAGTCGGGCTACGCTTTACCACACATGGGACAGCGGGGATCGAGACCCCAACCCGAGACCCGAGTTCTCCTATTGGGCCTCGACTCAGCGGGGAAATCAACCCTTCTTTACAAACTGAAATATAACGAATCGGTCGATACCGTTCCCACCATCGGTTTCAATGTGGAGATGATAGAAGCCAAGAAAAGGAGGGAGAGAGTTGCTCTGACGGTGTGGGACGTGGGCGGCCAGAAGACAATGAGGCACTACTGGAAGAGCTTCTATCAGGACACAGCGGGACTGGTGTTCGTGGTGGACAGCTCCGACAGGCGCCGGTTGGACGAGGCCAAGCGGGAACTGGATCACGCCCTGAGGAGTGAATTCTTGCGGGGTCTGCCTGTGGTCATCCTCGCCAACAAGCAGGACCTTCCTGAGGCGGTATCTGTCACGGAGATAACGGAGCGCTTTAACCTGAAGAAGATGTGCGCTGAGCGGGACTGGTTCGTTCAGCCCTGCTCTGCCGTGACCGGTGCTGGGCTTGTGGAGGGCTTCCAAAAGGTGGCACACCTGCTCAAACTACCATCAGAGGACGTTCAAGACAATATTAAAGAGACAGTGCAGTATCTAAGATCAAAATCAGTCAAGTCAATGGGTTTGTAATGTTTGAAATGATAGGATATGTCAAAGGAGTTATGGACAAATGATGATCATTTGTTTTTATTTAATTGTTTAGGGATGAAGATCACATTCCACTATGATCAATTTGTTTCTTTAAAAGGTTATCACAGTACAATAGACTACATGGAAACAAAATAAATCCACGAAGCTAATCAATTCACTTTAAATCAGCCTATGAGATTTTTTTCAACAAATTTGATACAGGACTTTGGGGAGCAATGCGTAAAAACGCACTCCAAATGGTCAAATTCACTTTTCACCGTTTATGTAGGCCTATAACCTAATAGATATAAATCTTGTATCTAATAAAATGTCGTCCCTATATGCTATTTCTTTCCCACCTAAACATTTAAGGCCTCTTTCACACCTAGGAGTGACCGATTTTATTTATTTGTGTTAATTTAACAAAATAGGCTCTTTATAAACAACATGTGAGAGTTATCAAACGTCATTGTGCTGACAGTGAAGGTCAGTTAGCCTGGTTCTGTCAGCGATTACATACAGTTGGAAAGGCGCAGTTGGACCTGGCCGGTCCCTGTTCTTGTCCCGCTTGCGCCGTGGTCTCCAACCGACCTCTGTCCCCCTCCTGCACGGTCTCCTCATATGTTGGCAAGTACTTCACCTCATCGTAGGCGGGTAGAGAGACAGGGGGAGCTAGGTCAGTAGCAAGGCTATGGGATGTGTAGCTCTCCAGGAGCGGGTCCTGAGATACCGTTGTCCGTCCGTTGAGGAGCGGGTGCGGATCGTTGCTGTCAAGCTGTCGCCTGGGTCTCGGGCAGACAATCCGCTGGATGAAGTAGCCCAGAGCAAACAGAAGGAGCAAAAGGAGGACCCCGGAGAGTTTCCGCGTAACCATTGCGATGTTGTAGAAGGTGCTGTGAACGGTGTGCCTGCAACAGCCGACGGCGACACTGTCGTTACCGTATGCGCAGCATATCTGGTCGTCTCTGCAAAGGATTTCTCCACAGTTTCGGAGCGCATGTCCAATAGTTAGAATAAATATGGAGAAAAATGTAAAGCTCGGCGTGTGACCTTTGAGGTAAAGACACATTCTTGTTAAAGAAAATGCTGTGAGTCTGCTGTTTTGATTGTAAATATTTCAAGTTGGTTGGAACGACGTACGCTATAGTTTACTAGAGGCGCTCTTCACGCGCGTTTGGCTGAGGTACTTGTGCAATGAGCCAAAACCATAGATCGATGACACTGGGTGAGCCGTAGCATCTGAACATGAGGTGTTGAAAAATTAGTCTGGAATTTTCATCCATATTGTCTCTCTGAACGTGTTTTCATAGCAAGCTCATTGAGCCAAATGCTGGTAAACTAATTTCTGTCTGATTATAACCGGATGACCTCCATCACTAGGCTACAAAATTGATTGTGGTTTATCAAATTAGGCCTTTTATGCTTACAGAGCAGTTATTTTTGGTCCTTTTTCTCTTTGTAGGTTCAAAACAACCATCGCCAGACCAATCTAGATAGTATTGACTGGAATACATATCTAGGCTATGGGCCTTTTAAAAATGTGCTTTATTGAAATAGTCTAACTCATTGCATCATCCAAAGACTAAGTGCCTTTGGAGTGCACTTCAGTGTCCCCTGTCAGGGCATTAAATCCAAATGAGCAATAATCTGCCTGCTATTAAATCATTAGCGAGCACCCAGTGGCCAATTGTTGGAGGGTTGTCATTAGATACAGTACATGTAGACTGGTGGCGCCGGCGGACAGAGAGATCAATTTGTTGTCTGAGTTGTATTCAAGATCAGTAATGATAAACCCAGAAATCGATAGGCTACAGTTTCTGTTCGGTCTAGTTGTAGATGAGTGATATCTCTGGTGCAAGGTTCTAACTACACCAGGCCTATATGATGTAGGCCTACAGCCTGGGAGCGTGAGGGGCTCTCCATGGTCCTGACACCCGATGTGGGCGTACGGTGACCTATCCATGGTCCTGAACAGTCACGCAGTAGCCTAATCCTGGTTACAAAGAAGTACATTTTCTCAGAAATTCGTGTTGTTTTTACGTTGTCATTCTTTTCAATTGTCTACCTGTTTAGAACAAACACTCTAGCATCCTATGTTAAATGGGGAGTGGAAACAGCGCAGGCCAATCTTCCATAGGGAGTGGAAACAGCGCAGGCCAATCTTCCATAGGGAGTAGAAACAGCGCAGGCCAATGTTCCATAGGGAGTAGAAACAGCGCAGGCCAATGTTCCATAGGGAGTGGAAACAGCGCAGGCCAATGTTCCATAGGGAGTGGAAACAGCGCAGGCCAATGTTCCATAGGGAGTAGAAACAGCGCAAGCCAATCTTCCATAGGGAGTGGAAACAGCGCAGGCCAATGTTCCATAGGGAGTAGAAACAGCGCAGGCCAATCTTCCATAGGGAGTAGAAACAGCGCAGGCCAATGTTCCATAGGGAGTAGAAACAGCGCAGGCCAATGTTCCATAGGGAGTAGAAACAGCGCAGGCCAATGTTCCATAGGGAGTGGAAACAGCGCAGGCCAATGTTCCATAGGGAGTAGAAACAGCGCAGGCCAATGTTCCATAGGGAGTGGAAACAGCGCAGGCCAATGTTCCATAGGGAGTAGAAACAGCGCAGGCCAATCTTCCATAGGGAGTAGAAACAGCGCAGGCCAATCTTCCATAGGGAGTAGAAACAGCGCAGGCCAATGTTCCATAGGGAGTAGAAACAGCGCAGGCCAATCTTCCATAGGGAGTAGAAACAGCGCAGGCCAATGTTCCATAGGGAGTAGAAACAGCGCAGGCCAATCTTCCATAGGGAGTAGAAACAGCGCAGGCCAATCTTCCATAGGGAGTAGAAACAGCGCAGGCCAATGTTCCATGCAAAGTAGAAACGACGGTAAGAAGTAATGCTGCATCTCCATTTGTAGGCTATCAACAACCTGCATGACAAGGACATACTTTGTTTAAAACATTCTGTGCCACCTTTCTGCAGAAATAGCTTAGGGATGAAGCTGGAGAAATCAAATGTAACCCCCCAAATTCATAGACAAGGCTATTGATGCAAGGACTGACCATCCATGAGATCAAAATTATAGTTGAAACAATGTTTTGAAGCTATACAGTGTTTGTTTACAATTTCATTGTTTACAAATAATGGAGTAAAACAAGATTCTATGTTGGGTTGTGATGGGGTAGACAGTTGAACTAAGCTCATAAGGCATTATTTATAAGTTATATTATCAAATAATCAATGGCAACATATCATTAATTTAAAGGTAGAAAATATATATGTACAGTCCTGGCCAAAAATATTGTCACCCTTGCACTTTTTTCAAATAATGCACAATTTATTCCAGAAAACTGTTGAAATTAAACAATATTTTGGTATCCACATATGTATATCTTTGGTTTGCAGTTGAACAAAACAAAAAACATCTGAATTTACTAAATGTTAGCTTATTCCACAAAGAAATCCTAAAATGGCCCAAACAATATTATTGGCATTGAACTTGAAGTGAGTTGCAGAATCCTGCAATATAGAAATCACTAATTCAACCAGTTTGAATAGAGAAAAGGACTCATTCTCCGTTTTTGTGTCACTGTGTGTACCGCAATGAACATGGAGAAAATAAATAAAACCAGAGAATTATCTGAGGACGTCAGACACAAGATTGTAGCCAAGCATGGACAATCTCAAGGCTACAAGTCCATCACCAGAGACCTTGATGTTCCTGTTTCCACCATAGGTAATGTTATCAAGAAGTTTAAGGCCCATGCCACTGAGCCAACCTCCCTGGACGTGGCCAAAAGAGAAAACGTGATGGAAGATTGCAGCGAAGGATTGTTCGAATGGTGTAGAAAGCACCTCGATCAACTGCCACACAGATTCAAGCTGACCTTCAGACACAAAGTACGACAGTTTGAACTCGCACCATCTGTTACCATCTCAATGAAAGGGGGTTATATGGTAGGAGACCCAGGAGGACCCCAAAGCTGAGAGAGAGACATAAGAAAGCCCGACTGCAATTTGCCAAAACACACCTGAACATGCCAAAATCCTTCTGGGAGAATGTCCAGTGGACAGATGAGACCAAATTAGAGCTTTGTTGTAAAGCACACCATCTCTATGTTTACAGAAAACAAAATTAAGCCTTCAAAGAAAAGTACACTTTCCCTACAGTCAAACATGGAGGAGGTTCAGTGATGTTTTGGGGTTGCTTTGCTGCCTCTGGCACTGAGTGCCTTGAACGTGTGCATGGCATCATGAAATCAGGAGAATACCAAGGCATTTTGGAGCGCAATGTCGGACCCAGTGTCAGAAAGCTGGGTCTCTGTCGAAGGTCATGGGTCTTCCAGCAGGACAATGACCCCAAACACACTTCAAAAAGCACCCAGGAATGGTTCAATACAAAACGCTGGACTGTTCTGAAGTGGCCAGCAATGAGTCCAGATCTAAATCCCATTGAAAACTCGTGGAGAGATCTGAAAACAGCAGTTGGGAGAAGGCACCCTTTAAATCTGGAAGAACTGGAGCAGTTTGCACAAGAGGAGTGGGCCAAACTGCCAGTACAGAGGTGCAGGAAGCTCATCAATGGCTATAGGAAGTGCTTGATTGCAGTTATTTTGACCAAAAGCTGTGCTATCAAATATTAGGTCTAGGGTGTCAATAATTTTTGTCAATGCCATTTCTGTTTATTTTCTTATTTAAATGGATATATTAAGTTCTGAATAAATAACAACGGTTCTGTAATATTAACAGTGAAATAAAGAATTGTGGAGACCAAATACTTTGGTCAATTTCAACTTTTTTGAGAAAATGATGAGTTATATTTTTGGCCACGACTGTAGCAATCGCAGATTGACCCTTTAAGATGCAATTATACCAACACAATGGTAGCTTTCACCTACTCAAACATTGCGTGCATCAACCAATGGTTGCGTGCTATGTCATCGACTGTGTCATTGACTGACAGATTGCTATAACATATGTGGTTAGCTGATACGTAAAATACCTATCCAGGCGTTGTACATTTTGGCAGGCGTCAGCAACGACTGGCAGAGAAACACGCCCCATTACTTCCAAATATGGGTAGCTGCAGCCCAATATGGCGACCGGAATATGGGCGAGTGGGTGTGTCAAAATGTGTTTGCGTGTGTGTGTGTATGGAAAACGAATCAGCTAATTGGGCAGAATTGTTGCCACTCAAGACCGTTTTGCGTGACTGATTGGGCTGCACGACAAGTGGATAAGTGCACCGGTGTTGTATCAACGTGTCTGCAGACGGGAAGGGTTTCCTACTGGGTGTTAGGCTAAAGTCGTGTCGCCGGCGGTAGCTAACGTGGCAATTATTTTTCCCTCCCATGATTTAATTGCAAGTAGGATAGCAGCCTACACAATAAATAACAAATATTGCTAACCATCTAGATGTCACCTTGATACATACATAGCCTACATCAGGGTTCTTCAATTCCGGTCCTGGAGGGCCAAAACACCTCTGTTTTTCATCCTCTCCTTCTAATCAGGGGCTAATTCAGACATGGGACACCAGGTGAGTGCAATTAACTACCAGGTAGAAATAAAAAACAGAAGTGTTTTGGCCCTCCAGGACCGGAATTGAAGAACCCTGGCCTACATACTACTACTCAATGGGAAGGGCATGAACGCAACAACACCGGGACACAGTGCCCTTTGCTCTTGCTTGACAAGCACTAGCCTACTGTACTGCAACGGTGTGGGAAGTAGCTACCTAGCTAATATCAGGGTGACTCACAGTAAGCACACGCATACCACACATGAAGCAACACTACATCCATCATCAGTACTTTTAATAAAAAATAAACAATCGTCAGTTTTATAACTGAAAATGTACAATTGTGTAAAACTGGCTTCAAAACAGAAGTCCAAACTCTCGTGGTACGGTAGCTCAATGTAAGGTAGTTGTGTGGTAAGAAACGGAAGAAAAAAACAGCTCAATCAAAACCATCTAACATATAGCAATCAAAACCATCTAACCTATAGCAGAGTGCTTTCGACACACCCACTCCTTTCCACACGCTCGCTCACTACTTTCCTTTCGACACACACATTCGCCCATAATCCGGTCGCCATATAGGGCTGCAACTAACCCCCTTGTTTTTGTAAGAAACATTGTGTTGGAAATTCCACATTGTTTGCTTAGTCAACTTACACACAGCACTGACACTTACCCCACCAGACATGCCACCAGGGGTCTTTTCACAGTACCCAGGTCCAGAAAAATTCAAGGAAACGTATAGTATTATGCCATGAGTGCATGGAACTCCCTTCCATCTTATATAGCACAAGTGAACAGCAAACCTGGTTTAAAAAAATGAATAAAGCAACACCTCACGGCACAACATCTCTCCCCAATGTGACCTACTGGTTGTGTGTATGTACTGACATGTACACTACATGACCAAGAGTACAGTGGGGAAAAAAAGTATTTAGTCAGCCACCAATTGTGCAAGTTCTCCCACTTAAAAAGATGAGAGAGGCCTGTAATTTTCATCATAGGTACACGTCAACTATGACAGACAAAATGAGAAAAAAAAATCCAGAAAATCACATTGTAGGATTTTTAATGAATTTATTGGCATATGATGGTGGAAAATAAGTATTTGGTCAATAACAAAAGTTTCTCAATACTTTGTTATATACCCTTTGTTGGCAATTACACAGATCAAACGTTTTCTGTAAGTCTTCACAAGGTTTTCACACACTGTTGCTGGTATTTTGGCCCATTCCTCCATGCAGATCTCCTCTAGAGCAGTGATGTTTTGGGGCTGTCGCTGGGTAACACGGACTTTCAACTCCCTCCAAAGATTTTCTATGGGGTTGAGATCTGGACACTGGCTAGGCCACTCCAGGACCTTGAAATGCTTCTTACGAAGCCACTCCTTCGTTTCCCGGGCGGTGTGTTTGGGATCATTGTCATGCTGAAAGACCCAGCCACGTTTCATCTTCAATGCCGTTGCTGATGGAAGGAGGGTTTCACTCAAAATCTCACGATACATGGCCCCATTCATTCTTTCCTTTACACGGATCAGTCGTCCTGGTCCCTTTGCAGAAAAACAGCCCCAAAGCATGATGTTTCCAACCCCATGCTTCACAGTAGGTATGGTGTTCTTTGGATGCAACTCAGCATTCTTTGTCCTCCAAACATGACGAGTTGAGTTTTTACCAAAAAGTTCTATTTTGGTTTCATCTGACCATATGACATTCTCCCAATCCTCTTCTGGATCATCCAAATGCACTTCAGACGGGCCTGGACATGTACTGGCTTAAGCAGGGGGACACGGCTCGCACTGCAGGATTTGAGTCCCTGGCGGCGTAGTGTGTTACTGATGGTAGGCTTTGTTACTTTGGTCCCAGCTCTCTGCAGGTCATTCACTAGGTCCCCCCGTGTGGTTCTGGGATTTTTGCTCACCGTTCTTGTGATCATTTTGACCCCACGGGGTGAGATCTTGCGTGGAGCCCCAGATCGAGGGAGATTATCAGTGGTCTTGTATGTCTTCCATTTCCTAATAATTGCTCCCACAGTTGATTTCTTCAAACCAAGCTGCTTACCTATTGCAGATTCAGTCTTCCCAGCCTGGTGCAGGTTTACAATTTTGTTTTTGGTGTCCTTTGACAGCTCTTTGGTCTTGGCCATTGTGGAGTTTGGAGTGTGACTGTTTGAGGTTGTGGACAGGTGTCTTTTATACTGATAACAAGTTCAAACAGGTGCCATTAATACAGGTAACGAGTGGAGGACAGAGGAGCCTCTTAAAGAAGAAGTTACAGGTCTGTGAGAGCCAGAAATCTTGCTTGTTTGTAGGTGACCAAATACTTATTTTCCACCATCATTTGCAAATAAATTCATTAAAAATCCTACAATGTGATTTTCTGGAAAAAAAAATCTCAATTTGTCTGTCATAGTTGACGTGTACCTATGATGAAAATTACAGGCCTCTCTCATCTTTTTAAGTGGGAGAACTTGCACAATTGGTGGCTGACTAAATACTTTTTTTCCCCACTGTATGTGGACACCTGCTCGTCAAACATCTCATTCCAAAATCATGGGCATTAATATGGAGTTGGTCCCCCTTTGCTGCTTTAACAGCGTCCACTCTTTTGGGAAGGCTTTCCACTAGATGTTGGAACATTGCTGATGTTGGGCAATTAGGCCTGGCTCGCAGTTGGCGTTCCAATTCATCCCACGGGGGCATTGTACTGCTGAAACAGGAAAGAGCCTTCCCCAAACTGTTGCCACAAAGTTGGAAGCAGAGAATAGTCTAGAATGTCATTGTATGCTGCAGCGTTAACATTTCCCTTCACTGGAACTAAGGGGCCTAGCCCAAACCATAAAAACAGCCCCAAACCATTATTCCTCCTCCACCAAACTTTACAGTTAGCACTTTGTATTGGGGCAGGTACCGTTCTCCTGGCATCTGACAAACCCAGATTTGCCCGTCATACTTCCAGATGGTGAAGCATGATTCATCATTCCAGAGAATGCGTTTGCACTGCTCCAGAGTCCAATGGTGGCGAGCTTTACACCACTCCAGCCGACACTTGGCATTGCTATGGTAATCTTAGGCTTGTGTGTGGCTGCTCGGCCATGGAGACCCATTTCATGAAGCTCCCGATGAACAGTTCTTGTGCTGACGTTGTTTCCAGAGGCAGTTTGGAACTCAGTAGTGAGTGTTGTATCGGACAGACAATTTTTACATGCTAAGCTCTTCAGCACTCGGTGGTCCCGTTCTGTGAGCTTGTGTGGCCGACCACTTCACGGCTGAGCCGTTGTTGCGCCTAGACATTTCCACTTCACAATAACAGCACTTACAGTTGCAGCAATTTGACGAACTGAGTTGTTGGAAAGGTGGCATCCTATAACGGTGCAATGTTGAAAGTCACTGAGCTCTTCAGTAAGGCCATTCTACTGCCAATGTTTGTCTATGGAGATTGCATGGCTGTATGCTCAATTTTATACACCTGTCAGCAACGGGTGCTGCTGAAATGCCGAATTCATTCATTTGAAGGGGTGTCCACATACTTTTTTATGTGTGTCACTGATGCACACTTTTTTTATATGTAAATTGTAAAGTCAATCCGTAATGTCTTTTTTGTTGTCGGACCCCGGTAAAACTAGCGTTCGCCATTGGCGTCGGCTAATGGGGATCCTAATAAATCTAATTACTTCTGGGTCCGCGCCAAAGACCAAGTGCTAATGCTGCATTCATAACTAAGTGGGAAGGTGGAAATTACCAGTTCGATACCTTCACTATGGTCAATCTGTCTGCATTGGCGGTGTTACAGCCTCTGCAGATGTCAAGGCATTCGTACTTCTTGCGCAGCGCTGTCGTCGAGTGTTTTTATACAGGACCACCAGCCCCCACCTACCATCAAGTCAATGCGGCGCTATACAGAGCCTTCCACATTGCTAAAAAATTTGGGAGGCACGGCGATGTGGCGCTTTGTCCTCCGGAGGTTCTGCAAATGCATCGCACCCGACCACATTGTCAAGTAAGTCATAAATTGGCCAACAAGCTTAAACTAAAAGTACAGCCATCATGTTTATAAACAAATGGTGCTCAATAACTTTTGTATTTGCATTAAACTTCCAAAAATGAGGGAGTTTCCCCACTGGTATTTACCAGATGGGCATTTAAGTAGATTTAGCCCAGTTGTACGTGGTAAATGCCACCGTCACACTTGGTTGTGAATGCAGGGTGCCACGTATGATCAGTGCATTTCATAACGCTGGCAGTTATGCTACATAAGACCGGTAGGAGGGCTGAAAGCGCAGACTAACCCATACTGGCAGCAGAACATTGTATGTGCTCCAGGGGCAGCAGCTTACTAACCCATACTGGCAGCAGAACATTGTATGTGCTCCAGGGGCAGCAGCTTAGACCGCTAGAGCTATAATTTAATATAATCCTATTGCTTGACCATCAATAATCCAGGGACAATTATTGATCCAAACTGATAAATTGACTGAATAGCAAAAACTAAATTCAAATAAGACAACTATGGATGTAAAAGTTTTATTTTTCATTGGCCATGTTAAGGTGGAATGGAACAGCAGAAAAGCAAAGACTAACACAAAAATGTGAATTCACACTTCATTCTTTAAAAGGAACTAGAACTTAGTTAGTTGTTTTAGCGAAGGGTTGGGTCAATTGCCATCCTAGCATCAAGTGAATTCAAGTTCCAGTTTACTTCCTGCACAGCACCCTTCCATCCAGTGAGATGCCATCTTGTGTGACTGGAAAACCGCCATGGTGTTCACAGTGCCAGTCTTAATTTTTGCAAGTAACACTGGTGTGCCAGTAGAGATGTCTGCTGGCACAGTTGTAGCCTCCTGCAGCTCGTTGGGATGGACTGCCTCTGGAGTCTACAATCTCACCCAATGTCATTATCGGGCAGAGTGTTGTGGAGACAGTTTCCAAGGTGATACTTCCTGAGTAGGGACAACAATCAGGGGCCCCAAGATGGTAGTCTGGCTCCACTCTGAAATAAATAACTTTCTGATTTAGCTAAACTGTCAGAGGTCATTTTAGAAAACAGTCATTGGTTGTCAATGATATTCAAAACACCAAGAAAAGTTCAAAATCTATTTTGCCTCAATTCTAGCTAGAGCACATTGCTTTACAGTTAATCTTTAAAAAATATGTATCCAAAAACCACAAAAACATAGGCTGGAGCAAAAGCCAGGACATACTAAGCATGCAATGCATCCAGGTTGCCTCTGGCTTTGTGTTGTGCGTAACCCACCTTCCGTTGTGTCCGTGCCCCTCCTCCAGACACCAGAGTAAGGCTTCTTGGATCTGGGCTCAACCTTTTGGAGCTGCTCTCTGCGCTGGCCTGGGCGAACGCGGAAGCTGGATGGATTTAGTTTGGGAGTAGTAGTGTTTGTTGTAGTCATGGGGGCAGTAGGCTCCTCGAAGCGTTTGGAGACTGCACAGCTTCTACAGGCCTGGTCGTTTCCATCTGCTGACCTCCAGCTGGAATGAGAATGCATTGTCAATGAGGAACTTGTTCGATTGCAGGTCAAAGTTAATTTGCCCTAATTTAGGCCATGCACAGTATATACACTTTACAGTATCCATATGTTAACCTTCCAATTACATTTTATTAACTACTACAGTACAGCAATATTATGCATATAATGAAATTCCCTGGCAGCGCCAATTAAAAAACCCCATTCAATGTTGGCAGTCTACATAGACCAAATTGCAGTTTGAACAACAGGCAGGATGCCCCATCTGCATCTCATACCGGTTCTCAATGAAGGAGCACGCTCGGCTCTTTGAGTTCACAGCAAACATGGTGGGGACAGCCTTCAGATGGCAGGTGATGAAGATCTGTGGCGATGGAATGGATATCAGAATGGTCAAGGTGCAGACAAGGAAAATACTTCACATAAATACAAAGGAAACCCAGAGGGAGATGTGGGATGGGCACTTGCCATATTGGCATCCTCCTGGTAGAATCTGAAGGCGTCCAGCATGATATGCAGCTTGTCATCCTGTATCCTGGGCATGTACCGGGAATTAGAGCCAGTCAGCTGGGCATCAGTGAGGCATCTAATTAGGCAAGACAGGGAGATAGTGGTTAGGGAAAGGAATTTGCCTACTAGCTGGTTTACTACAGTTGTTATCCAACAGCTAAGCATTGGAAAAATGAAAGTCATCCTATTGCAAACTGAAGCAATCATGTGATGAGTCACGCATTTCAATGAAGGCCACTACCAGTCAATACTTTCTAGATGACCTTACCCGTAGAACTCTATGAAGTTGTGTCTAGGGTTTGAGTCTGCATCAGGAGTTGCCGTAGCCACACAATGGTCCACATACACACGGAGGGGCATGTGGTTGCTCATGGCAACAGCTGCCTCCAGGTGTATGGTTTCACCCAGGAAGTAGGCATTTGATCCCCACTGAGAGGGCCAGTCTTCTGTAGAGAGAAGCAGGTGGGGATGTGCAACTACGTCAGAGAACAGCCATGTCGGGGATTCTTATACCAGTGTTATGACCTAATGTTGATATTTGAATTCCTCATAATACACCACATGGTCATGTTCAAAGAAGTTCACTTCATTTGACCAATTGTTGCAAACATTATCAAATGGTCTACGCTGGCAACTTGCATACTAGAGTGCATGTTTTAGTGTGAAACGCTTATGGCCCATGAAGAATGTATGAGTTAAGAGTGTAAAAAACATAGCTTACTTGTGATGAGGCGGAGGCTGAATTGCAGATGGTCCTCAGCAGTCGATGTTGAGGCAAAGGGGATCCAGATGGGCACCAGGGCTGCACTGTCCACAGCATACCTTCTAAATAAAAACATTTAAATCATTTAAGTTTAAAAACCCTTTATATTAGGTTAACAGGCATCAATGCCGCTACTGATAGCCCAACACTCACTTTCCATAATGGCATTCGACGGGAATCACAACAGAATCCAATCTGACGACACCAGAAGAGGGTGCAGGTGAATAGCTGAGAATATTGGAATAAACCAGCTCCTTCTCCGTAAACTGTGGAAGAGGTAAAGCGTTGTCAGGTGTTACATGTGCAGCTTGACGATTCATTATCGACGTTTTGTTCATTGGTTTCCTCAAGTTGCGACTTGAGCATTGAGTGGTGTACACGCATATATTAATAAACTTCTTAACTCCTAACCACACAAACCTTAGGTGTTAAACTAACAATATATTTGAACATGGCCTTGGGGAGGTGTGCCCCTTTATGTCCATGGACTCACGAAGTTGTATTTGCGGTTGCGGAGTCAACGACCTTCCTGTCCATGGAAGCGTTTCTTGGACAATATTCTTTAGCTAACTTTGGCTCAGAGCACCCCCTGCAAAAGTTCCATATTGGCTTTGGTGTAAATTGTTCAATGCGTGAACCTAATTAGCATACTTAGATATGTGGCATGATTAGATATTTAAGCTGAAGTGCTTAAAATGTAATCGGAAAACTTACTGCGAGTTCGGTTCCACATGCGGTCAAATGTGCGAAGATGCTAAACTCTGCCTCCCGGGTAGGAACCGCACTGCAAGAATCTTCAACGCCTTTGCTCCTCATTGAATTGGAACCTAGGTGCAAATCACTGCCGTCCACCAGAATGCCCATGTCAAAAAGGTCAGCTTTCACCACGACTTCAAGAGAATCTTCGTGGCACTTAACGAGGACAGTTGTCGGCCTGGTTGGCTCTGCGCTCTGTTTGACAGATTGGGCCTGACTGACATCTTTATAACCATAACCACGAGGATTAAAAGACTGATAACAATCAGCAAGTACAGAAATTGTCAGCAGGGTCGCGGCCCACCACGGAGATTTTTGCAGAAGCTCCATTTATGAGCTTGCAATCTGAATGTAGTTTGGCGGCTTCGCAGACACACTGAATTACTTACACCGAATTACAAACATTTATATGACAAAAAATGTCCAAGCATGGACCAATCATTGAGCACAGGTGGGGTTACCGCACCTGTGTCAAATCAGCGCTAATTACTAGATGAAAAAAATCCTGCCTAATTTATTTATTTTTGACAGTACCGCGCACCTGCCACTGGGTGTCAGTGGTACACTTCAATTGAATGAAAAGGACTGCTATTTCTCTGTGTAGGCTATTGATTGAACTGTCATGGCCAGACAGCATGTCATTAGGAATTGTACAAACTCCCAGAAATATACAATGCTTTGTACTCGTCATATCTCTCAAAACCGTTAAATAGTTGACCAACCGCACCCCTTCACCGAAGGTGCAGTCCAGCAATCTAAAGCGCCAACCTTGTCCTCGTGCCCATCACCCCCTATCATGGTTATCGTTCGAAAACATCCAGCAATGCCCTTAAATTATGGAGGACTAAAAGTGCCACAATTAAATAAATAAATACACCATTAAATAATTACTTAAATGTGTCATTAATTAATTAAATGTGTCATTAATTAATTCAAATTAGAATTAAATACATAAATGTGTAATTAAATGTATCATTAATTAATTCAAATACCGATTCATTTTATGTAAAATACATATATAATTATTTCACTATTTACATTTACATTTCATGATCCTGCATTGCAGTGATTCATGAATTACTTAAAACTGTCAAACTGACCCATCAAAGTCAGTGGGCGGGGCTAACGCGAATCTAGTCTGATCCATTGCTTTGGTCTGAAGTAGAGTAGGCCAACCTGGATAGAGACAATGGAGGATCTCCGTGAACTTTCCAGGGAGTTGGTTAGAGACATTTTAAACTTAGCAGAGGATGTAGAAGCAGGACCTGCTGACATTATCCGGAATTGATTTGTCTTGGCTTGATGCAGAGGGTAACCAATCAGGCGTTAGGTTCCGCCTACCAACTTTTGATGGGTCAGTTTGACAGTTTTAAGTAATTCATGAATCACTGCAATGCAGGATCATGAAATGTAAATGTAAATAGTGAAATAATTATATATGTATTTTACATAAAATGAATCGGTATTTGAATTAATTAATGACACATTTAATAACACATTTATGTATTTAATTCTAATTTTAATTAATTAATGACACATTTAAGTAATTATTTAATGGTGTATTTATTTATTTAATTGTGGCACTTTTAGTCCTCCATATTAAATATACATGTTATTCCTCGTCAACATAGTCCTTATAAATTCACACCTGTTTGAATTAATTGAGGTAAGACATTTATTACCCGAAGGATAACTTATTATTGCACTTGTCCGCACTGGCCAAGCTACTAATAACGGGAAGAACCAGTGGCGACCTGTCATTCAGGGCAGGTGGGGAAGAGCCACCTGTTTTGAGCCCCACCTGTTTAGCTAAAAATATATATATATATATTTGTTTTTTTTGCTTGTTTTGCATTTTATTTTGGCATTCATATGTGTCACATATCAGTTTGCAAACAATGTAAAATAAAAAATATATTTGAGTAAGGCAGCTCCAAAATGCAGGTGTTTCAGCCTAGCTCAGTGCTTTCTGTGGTGGTGTGGCAGCCAGCGGAAAATACGGAGCGTAGGGGTTGGTAATGTTCTCTAGTTGCACCCTGATTGGCTCAGTGTTCTGTCACTAATGGGTACACTACGTCACTGCAAAATCTACAGGGAGAGCTCGAACATTCAAGCCCCTTGGGTTCTGCCATAGAGTTAAATTAGAAATGCCCATCCAAGAAGGCTCAAGGTCTTTGGCCACAGATAAAATTACGTCAAATCACGTTATATCTACCGTAGCTTTGATTGGACTGATCATGTCAACATCATATTTTCACAATCTTAGCTAGCAAGCTAGCGGTCATCATCATGAATCAAGTCAACAATCTACTGGCAAATCCTTTTCAATCCTTGTCATATGAAGAGAAATAATGTAAACATTACACAACAAGTTGGAAATCGCAAATTCAACAATGAGTGGTTTTGAAAGAATCCGTGGCTAACTGCAAGCATTGCAAAGCAATCACTAGCCTGCTATTCAGTGGAGTGGGTGTGTGGTCCAAGTCTGGGTTTAAGGTTCTCTTTTCCAAACTTAAAAGGATAAACATTCAACATTGGCCATGCTGTCAATCCAGCATGACTTCTGACGTGTTCAAAACACCTGGAAACTCGGAACTGGGAAATCTTAGACTTCAGTGAGTTCAAGACAACTGGGAACTCAAAGAAAACGAGCTCCGACTGAGAAAATACGGTCATCAAATTCGGAATTGCAAGTCGGGAACTCAGGCCTCTTTCTAGAGCTCCGACCTGAAGATCACTAATGTCATGATTCAACCTTTTTTTTCAGAGTTCCCAGTTGTCTTGAAAGCACGATAAATCCAGAGAATGCCAAACTTTGATGACAAAGTTTGATGGCAAAATTTGTCCACCAAGTGAGCACAGCACAAGGCGAGTCCAAAAATTTATTGTATGCTCCTGCATAAATGATGTAATATGCCAGGGAGATATGTATACTGTAGCTAAGAAAGTAATACTACGTGTATGTTGTGTAGTAAACTGTAAGTAGCCCATGTGCTTCTTCTGCAACGTGACCCAAATGAACTACCTTCCATTGCATGCATTATAACATTGGCTGAAATAGTACTCACACACAACTACTTCATGTTTTTAAATGATTTATTTATTCAGACGAAGGGTACTGCTATGGGATCCCCTATGGCTCCTAACTATGCTAATATGTATGTGGGTTACATGAAGAAACAGTCAACCTTCAATCCTCTCAAACATGTTTTCTTGCCTAACATTCTTATTTGGAAATGGTACATTGATGATATTTTTGTTCTTTGGAGGGGTGATTCAAAACAGCTCCAGGCATTCCATGCTTTTCTTAACTCTTGTTCTGAGCACCTGATATTTACTATGTAATCTGAAACACGTCAAATCAGTTTCCTTGATCTTCTGATTTTGTGTGAGGATAATGTTCTATACACTGATCTTTACAGGAAACCTACTGATCGTAACAGTTTGTTGAGGGCTGATAGTTGTCACCTGCTTCCCTTGAAAAACAGTTTGCTCTACAGCCAATTCTGTCGAATCAAATAATTCTGTCGAATCAAAAGATTTTGCAAAAAACTATCAGATTTCGACAGAAATATGGCTGAGACGCAAAGAAAATTAAAGGAGAGGGAGTACAAAAATTGTCAGATTAATACTGCCATTGAGAAAATTCAAAATAAATCAAGACCTGGGCCCGTATCCTTAAAGATTCTGAGAATCCTCTCAGAGAGCTCCTAACTTAACCTAAAAATTCCTTGCCAGGAGTTTTAGCTTAGAAGTGATTCCAGAACATTTTCAGTGAACTCTGAGCCAGGAATGGATGAAAAATCCTATCTTAGTGAGGAGGTGTGGTTGACCCCGTTGCTAGGTATGAGTCATCATTTCAAAAGCCGTGATTGGTTGATCCTACAAGTTTGATGAAAATGAACTTTTGGTGATAATGAGCAAAGGATGTACCCTCAAATCAATAAACATAATTATACACTCTAATCTTATGCAGACTATAATTGTAAATAATATTTCACATTCAAGAAAATATCTGGAAAATGAATAGTAAGCTGTAGGGGTTATAGCCTAACATTAGAATCTAAAATATGTGAAAACTTAAGCTCATTACACCCTGTTCAAATAATGATTTGTGTCTCATTTGCTCATATTAATATCCTAGCTGGCATATTTTGTACTTTCACTTCCATATGGACCCCATTGAAAACAAGATGGCCTATCTCAAGGGGCTGTCCTTAATGAAGTAGAAATTGCAACGTTACAACTCAGTGTGAACTTAACGAGGGTAACACAGCTCAGCTTTTAACAATGTCTGTGATTGCTGGCTGGTCTATTTATGAAGGCTTGTTAACAAATATCCTACAAACACAGAAAATGGAGAAAAAAAGGAATCGCAAGCCGAACTGGACTGAGGAGCAAGGTTTGTTGCTGGCCCAGTTGGTGAACGAACATAAAGGTATGTTACGAGGAAAATTTGGCCCAACTGTCACTAGCCAAGGCAAGAGGCGCGCCTGGGACACAATATCCCAAACAATCAATGCCTCTTTTCCACTGGTGGTGCGGACAGGCGACGATTGTGAGAAAAGGTGGTATGTGCTGCAGTCCAAGGCAAAAGATGAGATTGCAGCACACAAGCGGGAATCCTCACTCACAGGTGAGCAAAATACTATGGCCTACCACATAATCTGGCAATTTGCTCCTGCTGGCAAAGTTAATTTACATGCCTAAGTACTGTGTTCATTGACTGTTTCTTTCTAGGGGGTGGACCACCTGCAAAGCGGCTGTCCCAGGTGGCCGACACTGTCTTTCAAGTCCTGGGACACTGAGGTCAGTGTCACCGGGCTGCCAACAGGCATTGACACGTCAATGATGCAGGCCCTTGAAATGCAGCAAAGGTAGGACACAGGGTTATTCATATCAACAGTGTTTATTCATTGCAGAAGCCATTTCATGTGTTATCCATGCTCATTGTATTAAATTAATTTAATCAAAACAATAATTAAACTAGGCCTATGTATTTCTGTAGCATGGAGCCATCACAAGAACCGGGCCCATCAAGTTTGCCGCCTGAACCATCTGCAGCTGCTACTCAGGATAGCCCGGCGGATCAAACACCATTCCCATCCGCAGCACCTGCTCCGTCAGCATCCCTGCAGGAGAGAAGATTGCAACTCACAATTGATGTGTTTGAACAACAAAAAAAAGTCCTTTCCCTTCAGGAGGAGTACTACCGCCTTAAAATTGAACACCTAAAAAATAAACCATTTAGAGATTGTGTTCTGTGTCTTGCATTTAACAGTTGCAGGTGATGTGCAGTAAAACTGTGGTAGTTCTTAATACCATCACAAGTTCTCAAATGACATGGGGCTACAGCTTGCCTGAAATGTAAATTTGTGAAGTTTGCCCTGTAAGGCAGTCCACTCTGGGCTAGGTTCCCCTGTGGAATGTGAATATCTTCTTCACCACCATCCTCATCGTTGTCTCCATCCTCATCCTCATCGCCATCCTCCAGAGGTTCTGCAATCTGTCTAACCTTGCAAATATTGTGTAATATTGCACAGGCTATGATGAGTTTGCTGACTTTTTCAGGCCTCAGCCGCACCTCTCCGTGGAGAACATGAAAGCGCCTCTTAAGCTGGCCTATGCCACGCTCCTCCACCGCTCTTGTTGTCTTGTGGGCCCTACAATAGAATACAGACCTTTAATTATTTGATGGAAATATTGCACTACTTGGATGCTCTAACATATTGCTTGCATTTCATTTCCATGATTTTTGTATTGTTTGGCTTACCTGTTATAGTTTAGTTGGGGCCCTTGGCGTGGCTGGAGGTAAGGTGTAAGGAGCCATGGTTTGCATGGGTAGCCACTGTCCCCTAACAAGTGGCAATTAGCTGGCACATAGCGTCTCTCAAAAAGCTGTCTGATGCCACTCTCGGAGAGCATTCTCGCATCATGTGTGGAGCCTGGCCATTTAGCCACAATGTCCAAAATCTTCCAGGCCGCATTGAACACTATTTGCACATTGATGCTGTGGAAATTCTTCCTGTTAACAAAGACAGCCTCGTCCTCTGATGGCGCAATTATTCTCACATGTGTTCCATCAATTACACCCACAACGCCAGGGAATCCTGCAATGTCCATAAATGCCCTTTTATGTGTGTGTAAAGTGCGGGCATCCAGCGGGAATGAAACAAATTGTGTCACAATATTAGGTTGTGACAAAGCTGTCAGTGTTTGGGTGATGACTCTGCTGACGGAGGATTGGGACAGACCCAAGTCATCACTGCTGCATTGTTGCATTTTCCCTGTTGCCAAATACCTCAGGGTTGTGATTACTTTCTTCTCCGGTGTAATAGCGTTGTGGCGTCGAGTTGGTGAAGTAATTGCATCTCTAAGGAGATCCACCACAAACATGATTCCTGCACGATCCAATCTGTAGCGTCTCAATAATTCCCTGTCATCCAGTGTTTGCAGGACATCTCTCCTGCCTCCTCTGTTGGCCATTTTGTGCAGCTGCTTAGGGTAACTCCTAAGCCACTAAAAGTCCTCTTCCCTGCTCTTAGCAGATCTCGCCTTAGGAGCCCTTTTAAGCGCTAGGACTCTTGAGGAATAGCTTTTATATTAACTGGGATTTTCGTGTCACTTTTAGGGGAAATTCTAAGAAAACGTCATGCCTCTGAGAATTTTCTTAGAATTTGGCCGCTAGGAGCCACTTTTTGCACAAAAATTCTTTAGAGATACGGGCCCTGATCTCTTTCAAGGACAGTCTCGCAAAAAGAAGCATTCTTGCGTTCTAACTATTCAAAGTGCTCTGAACAAATTAAGGGAATCGTTCAAACATTGGCACATTCTAAGATCCGATGACAGTATTGGTCATGTGTTTTCGGACCCTCCCTTGGTTGTATTCTCGCGGGGCAGAAATCTCAGAGATCAATTGATAAACTCTGATTTACCACCCCTAAATATCCCTGCACAACGTCTATTTGCGCCTCTACCGGATGGAAACTACAAGTGTAATGGCTGCGCTCAATGCAATGGCACTTACAAATGTAGATCCTTCAAACACCCCCAAACAGGGAAACAGATCCCAATTAAAGGTGTTATTACGTGCTCCACTAAGGCAGTTATTTATCTTATAACTTGTCCTTGTGGTAAAAATTATTTGGGAAAAACAAAGCGCGAATTAAAAGTACGAATATCGGAGCATCGAAGAACCATTAGGTACAAAAACTCTACATACCCAGTCGCTGCCCACTTTTTGGAAGCTAACCACTCGATTTCGCCCGTACGTTATATCGGCATCGAACATGTCACCCTCCCTAGGAGAGGGGGTGACCTGGACAACTTATTGTTAAAACAAGAGGCTGCCTGGATCTTTCATTTAAAGACCCTTGCTCCCTTCGGTCTCAACCTAGAATTTGATTTGAAGCCATTCTTGTGATTATTGTGATTTTGCTATTCATTGTAAATGTTTGTGGGTCTATGTAGCCAAGTTGTATCTATGATCGGATGCTATCTATTCATGTTTTTTGTATGTTCTGTTTATCTGTGAATTAACCAATGATATCAGGCCACACCCGGCCATGATTACAGACACCTGTGTGTGTCCTTTGACACTATATAAACTAGTGACCCGCAGTGTTTGTCATTATACCCTGATGAAGACAGCTTGTCTGTCGAAACGTTGGTTATCAGGTCATTAAATTATTGCATTTGAGCTGCTAGAGTGTGCAGCTCTCCTTTTCTTTTTCAAGTAGCCCTTGTGCCTCACCCTAATAACTTGGTCCCTTTTCCCCTCATAACTTAGAATACTGTTCTGACTTGGTGGTGCACATGTAGGCTTTAGCTTGTTTTAGAGAAATGTCATCATCGAATATTGTAAGAGCTTTCATTGTCTGCGTATATGCCCCCTTTATTTATCATACGGTTCTGACTTGGTGTACAGGGAGAATACTGTAAGAACAGCCCATGTTCTGAATTCTGTCGCTGTACATTTCAAAAGTGCTGAACAAATAGTTATATTGACTAGGTCCGTCCTAGCTTGCTCATTAATGTCTTAATCGAAATTACGGATTGCCTCTTATCCACTCGTCGTCCCCTTATATCATAGTTTGTACATCTCAATTGTCAGTAGAAACCACATTTGTTTAAGCAAGTCAGCCATATCAGCTATGTTTTTTTTAAAGGCAGTAAATGAGGCTGAATGAACTGATTCGCTGCCAGATAAGGCTCCGCAGATAGCCAGGTGTAGCAGTGGTAAGGTGTTGGGACTGCTTTATGTAGGCCCTAACAGTTTGTGGGCACCGTTTGTCACCGTTATAGTGCAATTAATGTATTGTTTAGTGTTGTGTTGTGTAGTGGCTTTGCTGGCATGCATCTAAAACATGTTGGAGGAGTTTGCCCCACCAAGATGTACATGCTAAAATCGCCACTGGGGAGAACATAGCCCAAAATAACCTAACATTAGGCCATTTGCGAGCTCAAACCAAATGCAAAAATTAGACTTTAGAACAAGGTGTCAGTCAGCCCTTTCAGCTGCATGCGGGCTCACGTTTCTCGAGAGTGAAAAAAGTCCAATGTGAGGCAGTCACTTGGCTGTGCTCAGTCAAAACCATACCACCCCCGAATATAATATAGAGTATAGGAAGGCCTAGTAGTATGCTACATGTCATCATGACTTCTTAATCTATACGCCTACACAAATGTATGGTACTTTCTGAAGTTTCTCTGTGGTCTTCTGTGAATCCTAAAAATTTACTAAAGTCTCAAAATTTGAATTTTGAATTTAATTTAATTTATTTTGCGTAACAGACATATACAACTAAATGTACACTGTGGACACAGATGATATCATTTGAAAGTATTAATTAAAATGCTTGTTTCCAAAGTGGTCCTCGATGGTAAAAACAATAACACATATAACCGTCCACATATTACACGCAGATACAGTAGGCTATGATTCCGAGTGAAATGAGTATAATTGACCAGTGTAGGCCTACAAGAACGAGCATATTGTGTGGTTGGGGGACCACCCGAGTTAGTGATATGGGTTTACCACTGTGTATTTTCCTGGAAGAAAGCCTACAGTTTCCCATCAGTTAACTCAGTTGAATGTATTGATTATATATGGCAAAATATTCCACACACATACACTATCCTTGTGGGGGCCAAACAATTGATTCCCATTAAAAATCCTATTTTCCCTAACCCCTAACCTTTAACCTAACTCTAATCTTAACCCCAAACCCTAACTCCTAACCCTAAACCTAATTCAAATCCTAATCCTAATTATAACCATAAACCTAACCCCTAAGGCTAAAATAATGGGGAAAATTATTGGGGAAAATAATGTCCCCACTTGTCCGAATTTTCCTTGTTTTACTATCCTTGTGAGGACTTCTGGTCCCCTCAAGGATAATAAACCCCCCCCCCCAAACACACACACACACACAGAGAGAGAGAGAGAGAGAGAGAGAGAGAGAGAGAGAGAGAGAGAGAGAGAGAGAGAGAGAGAGAGAGAGAGAGAGAGAGAGAGAGAGAGAGAGAGAGAGAGAGAGAGAGAGAGAGAGAGAGAGAGAGAGAGAGAGAGAGAAATACCATGAAAACGAAGAGAGAAATAAAACAGCTGGCATTAGACTATTTGAATTCATTGCGGAATCTATTTTATTTTGCAGATGTTTAAACAAAAACGATGTAAACATTGAAATAGGTTAAATTGATATGTAGAAAATAAATATTTTTAAATCATAAATTAGGCAAATAAATAATACAACCCATTAGGTTGATAATAAATATCACATTGAATATTATTTTGCTTTTCAAGTAACAACAAATCAACAAATAAATACCTAGATTAAATACTTATATATTAGCAATATGTCATAAATATTAGACTCCTCTAAATTCTACATTATTTGATGATAATAAGAACACTTGTCCACAGGACATAACATTAACAAAGGCAACTTTGTTATGGTCATGAAAACTGGATTATTTTTCCCTTGAGTGAATGGTGATGACGACGATGATGGTGATGAGGAATAGTCTCCAACAGCATAGACACCTGCCTGGTCCTTGATGAAGATGCCACCTTACATATTGTGTTCTCCAGCATGAATATAGCCAATGATTCTGTTGATGGTTATGGTGCGAACCTGGAACCCCTTCAGCACTTTACACAGATGTAGCCTTTCATCAAAGGGATTTTGATTAACAGTACCTTGAGTAGGCCTACAACCTTGTGTATCCTGAAAAGAAACATAGTGTACACTGTGTCAAGTTAACTTTATCTCTATTTGGTTACGGACAATTGACATACAAATGACCATATTTGGTTAGGAGATATTTTAGGGACCATTCATTCCACCACCCACATCCCAATGTAATCCCTACTAATCTTAGACTGAGTCCCTGAAAGGCCTCTTTATGTTAGTCAAGGTTGCTTTTGAGAATCTCTTACCTGCTGAGAGGACCAGTCTCCCAACAAAGACAAGGAGAAGCAGTTCTATAAAAAAAATAATAATAATCAAATGAAAGGGTGAGGCAATATATGACAGTATATTTGTGTAGCCTAAACCTGCAGCTACAGTGACATTCCTATACGAAACTGATTGTGTTAGAAATATCTCAAAAATCTGTTTTTTATGTCATGTCCTCTCCATGCCAGTATTTTGGCATAGTAATTCCCAGACTTTACCTCTTTAATCTCCCTGAGGTTCTGCAGCACATTGGGTCCAAGCAGTTTAGGGTCAATAGCTTGTAGCATGTCACTATAACAATGCAGATCCTCCTCAATGTTCCTCAGACACTTGTCCTATGGGATACACAGGAACAATACATGTAAAAAAGTTAACAATACAGGCAGACAGTGTGTTAGATTTGCCCCCTTTAGACTGGAAATAAACATGCCTTTTCCATTTCTTATGGGGAAAACTGATGGAACTGTTGCTCTGGGCAACAACAATAATATGTAATTTATAGACAATAGCAAATAGCCTACCTGATCAAACTCTAAATTTGTGACTCTGGAACATGTTGAGTGCTGTTGAGTGCTTTTGGTCTATAAAACAAAGTATATATTATTCAGCAAAGGCTTTCAACATCGACGTTATATAGCCTTGTAAATGGAAATTCACATTATTGTCTGAAATATTTGAATACAGATTACAGAATGTCATCTGGCAATATTGTCATTTTCTTACCTTTGGTGCACACACTTCCACCGTCTGTGTTCTCGTGTTCAACTCCATACCCTGGTCCGTGCAGTTTATTCCTTTGAACAGGTGTTCCTAGTATTGAAACGAATGTAATGAATAGGCTACAGATATGAATTGAATAGATAGTCTACCATCAAGAATAGTGTTGGAAAATGTGTCTGTGTCTCACCTGTGCAAGCGCCTCGGTGATGTTCCAAAGTAGTGTTTGCGCAGTAGCAACACAGTTCTCAGCTATCCGGCCGTTGCGCGCCACCACTGGGCTGGACATGTTCACGTGCCAGAGAGAACAAGTGAGCGCGACCAAGAGCAGCCAAGTGGCAAAATCTGACAGGTTCAAGAAGAGGATAGAACTAAGACTTCAAACTAAAACTTTCTATACAAAAACATTTGTCAATAATATGTCAATAATTTTGAGATGGTTTTGCAATATTCTCATGCAAGAAAAAAGTATTCTCAGATAACCTGACCTATTCTAACTTTAAGCATAAAATAAATAGGCTACTAACTTTATAACAATAATTTTGTTAGAAGAGAAAGAGAAATAGGCTATAGATTACTCACAAAGCTTGGCGTTTGGCATCATGGTTATAACAATGTTTATCCTTGGTTTATCCTAATTATTTTGTGTGTCTTGCTTCATATCTCAGTGTTTTTATACTTTCCCGGGCAGGGAATTCCCTAGCACAATAACAATGTTTGAAAATATAAATTGAAAGTAAATCAGGTAACAATGTCACTGTGTAATTTTCCTAGATGCCAGATATCAATAATGGAACGTTTTCCCAGAGTGGAACTGGAATTAACATTGACTGGAGTTGAGTTGATTGTATCAGATGTTTTGGTTGTAGCCACTATAACCACAGTAGTTTCTCACAGTTTGGTAGAAAATATCTGGTTGCCTCCTCTGCTTTCTAGTGGTTGGCTAGGCCTAGGTCAAGGTCATGATTCAGTATGGGCTTTCACTATGGTCAAAACTCAATTACATACGTGTTTGGAGCCTTGTAGTGCAACATGAGAAATGAGGGAAGAAACTGCCTGTTATCCACACACATGCAACAGTCACTTGCCTATATTCAGCTATGTCATAGCATTAATGCCAATTTAATTATGTAATTGTTGACATCCATAGAAGAAAACAACTAGTAGGCGACCATAACCTTATCTTATTTTGTAGTTTGTATTTATAGGTTTTATGTGTTTATATATATTTATGAGGCACATGTAGGCTAATGTAGCCTTCTTTGGTCCCTCGAGCATCCTTCTGTACCATTTATGAATTAATTTGGATTGTCTCATCTACTGTCAGTTAGATCTGGTTCGGATGGCTACCAAGACTGACCATAACAACACAACAATGAACTAATAAAGACACGCAAGCACTTCAAACTTTTATATAGAATTTTCATCTCTGTACACAAAACATTTTCAGAATGCAGCATAATACAGTTGAAGGGCCTTAGTATAATACGAGGGAGAAATGTTTTAAAAAGAGCTGCTAGAAAATGACATTCTCTAAATGCTGAAGATGGACTAATCATAGTGAACAAAGATGTCATGCTCAGCAAAGTTGTTTTATGTAGCCCAGACTGACCAGCTATCACTTTACCAGTGTCAAGAACAGTCAGCTCAGACATCTTTAGTTCTTAACCATTGCGATTTGACTTTGTCAATAATATTTTGTCTTAAAATATATAGTTTTTCTGTGGAGTAGCATTAGGATCACAAAGCAGGGATCGAATTACACACTGACCTTTGGGGGCGCCCTAAAAATATTGGGCTAAACCAATGTTAATATTTTGAATATATGGGTGTCAATATTAGTTAAGCACCCCTATTATTTGAACCCTGCCACCAAAAACACCAAAAGGACTCTTATCTTCCATTTAATCTAAAGTGCAGACAAAAAATAAGGTCATTGCAATCTGTCTGTAAATTTGGCAAAATCAAGGGTCAACCAGTAAACCTTCAAAATATCTGAATGTTAAAGCAGGTGGAATTATGCAACAACAGCTGTACTACATCCATTTGTGTGTCTAAAGTATTCATACAAGATCTGTGTAGTTGCCGCAATGTTTATACACTGGGAAGCCTAGGAGCTAATTCCTTAGCAACAGCACAAACAGCTATGTGTGTTTAGTATTCTACAAAGCACGCGACTGGCTGAGCGGGGCAACAAACAGAACTCTAGTCATCTTCTGTGATCAAACCGTCACTACAACACATGGTTTATGACTGGGGCCCGGAGTTTTGCCTGAACACTTAAAACTCAGGACTTTGTGTGACTCAGGGATGGGTGTGGTGCCTCTGTAGCCGTGGATACCAACCCTGGTTCTGGAGAGCTAAAGCATGTCCAGGCTTTTGTTCCAGCCCAGCACTAAAACAAACCTGATTTAACTAATGACCTAATCATCAAAGATATTGATCAGTTGAATCAGGTGTGAAAGTGCTAGCCTGGAACAAAAGCCTGCATGCCTTATTGGTCTCCATGACCAGGGTTGTTGACCACTGTTCTGTGGTGGTTGTGGCTGTCATGTGACGTAGGTGATTATGGGGACAGGTGGCCAGGGGTTTTATTTGGAGAGCGTTTAGGCTCTGCCATGTGTCTCTGCTGGCTCTGAGCATGCCTGTGACAAGAAAGAACAACAAATAACAGTTACATTAAAGAATGCATGAAAAATCATCATTAGATCCTTTAAAAAAAAAAGACTAGTCTGTTTTCATAAGAATGTATTTTAGCTGAGCCTTTCCATGGCATTTGACCTCCAGAACTAAGGATACTACAGAGGCCTATTGGTGGTGCTGTTAGTGGTGTTGGTGCGCAAGTGTGTGTGTGTGTGTGTGTGTGTGTGTGCATTAATGCATGTATGTGTGTGTGCTTCTATGATCATATTACTGTACAATATGATCTTCACCTGGTCAGGTCCTCTATGTCCACCAGCATGGCGTCCTGCTCCACATGGAGCTCATCTCTCATCAGCAGCAGCTGTACCAGCTCCTCATTCAGGCCTGCAACGTCACCACAACGTTATCTTAACATCCTCATAGCCCCCGGAACAACAGAGTTATGATGGTGGTGATGAAAGGTAGATTGCGTGTGTACCACATGTGGCTGGGGGCACATTAATTGGGGAGGACAGGCTTATAGTAATTGCTGGAACGGAATACATTGAATGCTTTCTATGGGTTTTAATACCAATCCATTTATTCCATTCCAGACATTATTATGAGCCGTCCTTCCCTCACCAGCCTCCTGTGGTGTGTACGTACATATTGTGTGTGTAGTGTTTGTGTGCATACGTGCGTGTGTGTGTGCGTGTGTGTACTCACTCTGTATCTGCGAGTGCAGATCGTTGGTGATGACCTGGAGCTGGCCCAGGCTCATGTCCCTCATGTCTCCCCTCCTCAGACTCCTCTTCATCAGACCCTCGCTGATATGGGGCAGGTGGAGCAGCTGCACACAGACAGACATGGGGACAACATTAGAACAACATTAACTAGACAAGCAGGTGAACATTAGGCACAGTCATCTGTATCTAATGTTGAAGAGAGAAATAAGGTAACGTATTTGGGCCTTTGGGGTTAGTTAGGGTGATTACAGTGCTTTCAGAAAGTATTCATGCCCCTCACCTTTTTCCAAATTTTGTTGTGTTAAAAAGTGGGATTAAAATTGATTTAATTGTAATTTTTTTGTCAACAATCTGCACAAAATTCTCTAATGTCAAAATGGAAGAAGAATTCTAACATTTGATTAGATAAGTATTCAGTCAATACATGTCACTGTATATATATATTTTCTGTTGTATTTTTGACTTTATGTTTTGTTTACCCCATATGTAACTCTGTGTTGTTGTTTTTTATCGCACTGCTTTGCTTTATCTTGGCCAGGTCGCAGTTGTAAATGAGAACTTATTCTCAACTGGTTAAATAAAGGTTAAATAAAAAAATTAAAAAATAAATGTTAGAATCAACTTTGGCAGCAATTACAGCTGTGTCTTTCTGGGTAAGTTTAAGAGCTTTGCAAACCTGGATTGCACAATATTTGCAGATTATTCAAATCTTGCCATAGATTTTCGAGCCAATTTAAATCACAACTGTAACTCGGACACTCAGAAACATTCAATGTCATCTTCGTAAGCAACTCCAGTGTATATTTGGCCTTGTGTTTTAGGTTATTGTCCTGCTGAAAGGTGAATTTGTCTCCCAGTGTCTGTTGGAAAGCAGACTGAACCAGGTTTTTTGCTCCATGATTTTGCCTGTGCATAGCTCTATTCCGTTTCTTTTTATCCTAAAAAAAATCCCTAGTCCTTGCCGATGACAAGCATACCCATAACATGATGCAGCCACCACCATGCTTGAAAATATGAAGAGTGGTACTCAGTGATGTGTTGTGTTGGATTTGCCCCAAACATAACACTTTGTATTCAGGATATAAAGTCAATTTCTTTGCAACATTTTTTAAAGTTCTACTTTAGTGCCTTACAGGATGCATGTTTTTGAATATTTTTTATTCAGTACAGGTTTCCTTCTTTTCACTCTGTCATTTAGGTTAATATTGTGGAGTAACTACAATGTTGTTGATTCATCCTCAGTTTTCTCCTATCACAGCCATTAAACTCTGTAACTGTTTTAAAGTCACCATTGGACTCATGGTGAAATCCCTGAGCGGTTTCCTTCCTCTCTGGTAACTGAGTTAGGAAGGACGCCTGTATCTTTTTAGTGACTGGGTGTATTCATACACCATCCAAAGTGTAATGGATAACTTCACCATGCGCAAAGATATTCAAAGTCAGCCTTTTTTTTTATTTACCCATCTACCAATAGGTGCCCTTCTTTGCGAGACATTGGAAAACCTCCTTGGTCTTTATGGTTGAATCTGTGTTTGAAATTCACTGCTCGACTGAGGGACCTTACAGATAATTGTATGTGTAGGGTGTAGAGATGAGGTAGTCATTAGAAACATCATGTTAAACATTATTATTGCACACAGAGTGAGTCCATGCAACTTATTATGTGACTTGTTAAGCACATTTTTACTTGAATACTTACTGACTCAAGACATTTCAGCTTTTCATTTTTAATGAATTTGTAAATAAATAAATGAAAACATAATTCCACTTTGACATTATGGGGTATTGTGTGTAGGCCAGTGAAACAAAATATCAATTTAATCCATTTTAAATGCAGGCTGTAACACAACAAAATGTGGAAAAAGTCAAAGGGTGTGAATACTTTCTGAAGGCATTGTATATGCAAATAACTCAATCCTTTCATTTATCCTGAACTTAGAGCAGTTTCTTTAAACCGGGATGAGTTAAATGCCAGTATCCCACCATTGTTTGTTTGGGCACTGACACACATATCAACAGTTCAGTAGAACTCCAGTCAGGGGGGAATTCACTTGGCCTGACACACAATGACTGTATGGTCGTATTCACAACTCATTCACCACAATCTCTGGGGCAGGGAAAATATAGAAATTACACTACATCTACGTAGCCACCAATTTCTCAGAAGTGCTAAAGCTGTTCCAAAAAAGCACTAAGTCGACTAACCTATGTCAATACTGTAGACGTGTACCTGAGGCTATGGATTAGACCGCTACACCACCCTAGATCACTAACCAGAAGAATTCTATATTAAATGTGTTATTCCGACAGCACCATGGCCTCAAGTGTCCTCTCTCTTCAGCCAAGTCAACTTATCAGAAATGACAGGTCTACAACACACACACTGACCAGGTCGGCGACAGGCGAGCGACGGTGGAGCTGGATCTGTCTCTCCACCTCTACCTGCATGCGGGCCATGGGGCGAGCCAACGCCAGTGCCACCCGGGCCTCCTCTTGGAGCCGCCGCTGCACCCGCCAGAAGCCACAGTCCTCCAGGGGGTCCGAGTCATCCTCTCCCGTGTCCCGGTCCGACAGGGACGAACTCTGCTTGCTCTGGATGGACACACACACCACAGTAAGTACACACACACATGCTAGTTATACAGAATCATAGACAGTAATGTAAATACATGCATACTTCAGAGTCATCAAACACATTGGTGTGTGTGCTCACACACACATTCCACAGTCAATTAGATTATTTTGCTCCTGTTGAGTCAGGTTCCAATGTATCAGTTGTGTGAATGAATGTGGAGAGCACACACCACATACACACATCTACATCTTTAGCGTGTACCACGGGTGAAAGCGGCGTGTCCAGGCTGGTCTCTGTCCTGCTGTCCTCTGCATCGCTGTCCTTGTCACTGTTGCTGTCATTCACAAAACACACCTGCAGGTTCACACCGTTTTGAGGCCTGACAGTGACACAGAGAGAGAGAGAGAGAGAGAGAGAGAGGGACGGAGAGGGACGGAGAGAGAGAGAGAGAGAGAGAGAGAGAGAGAGAGAGAGAGAGAGAGAGAGAGAGAAGGAGAGGGTGAAATAATGAGAGGGAGAGATAGGGAGAACAATCAAATCACAGCCTGAAAAAAAGGGGAGCAGGAGGGAAAGGCAGATAACCCTACCCCTGATCCATACAAATCCTACCCCTGATCCATATAGCCCTACCCCTGATCCATACAACTCCTACCCCTGATCCATACAACTCCTACCCCTGATCCATATAACCCTACCCCTGATCCATATAACTCCTACCCCTGATCCATACAACTCCTACCCCTGATCCATATAACTCCTACCCCTGATCCATATAACTCCTACCCCTGATCCATACAACTCCTACCCCTGATCCATATAACTCCTAACCCTGATCCATATAACACCTACCCCTGATCCATATAACCCCTACCCCTGATCCATATAACTCCTACCCCTGATCCATATAACACCTACCCCTGATCCATATAACTCCTACCCCTGATCCATATAACCCTACCCCTGATCCATATAACCCTACCCCTGATCCATATAACACCTACCCCTGATCCATATAACCCTACCCCTGATCCATATAACCCTACCCCTGATCCATATAACACCTACCCCTGATCCATACAACTCCTACCCCTGATCCATATAACCCTACCCCTGATCCATATAACCCTACCCCTGATCTATATAATCCTACCCCTGATCCATATAACCCTACCCCTGATCCATATAACCATACCCCTGATCCATATAACCCTACCCCTGATCCATATAACCCTACCCCTGATCCATATAACACCTACCTCTACCCTGATCCATATAACACCTACCCCTGATCCATATAACTCCTGCCACCCCTGATCCATATAACACCTACCCCTGATCCATATAACGCCTACCCCTGATCCATATAAAGCCTACCCCTGATCCATATAACTCCTACCCCTGATCCATATAACACCTACCCCTGATCCATATAACTCCTACCCCTGATCCATAGAACACCTACCCCTGATCCATAGAACACTTACCCTGATCCATATAACTTCTACCCCTGATCCATATAACTCCTACCCTTATCCATTTAACTCCTACCCCTGATCCATATAAACCCTACCCCTGATCCATATAACGCCTACCCCTGATCCATAGAATACCTACCCCTACCCTGATCCATATAACTTCTACCCCAGATCCATATAACTCCTACCACCCCTGATCCATATAACGCCTACCCCTGATCCATATAACTCCTACCCTTTCCATATAATCCTACCCCGGATCCATATAACCCTACCCCTGATCCATATAACTCCTACCCCTGATCCATATAACCGTTCCCCTGATCCATATAACACCTACCCAATCCATATAACTCCTACCCCTGATCCATATAACTCCTACCCCTGATCCATATAACACCTACCCCTGATCCATATAACTCCTACCTCTGATCCATATATATTCCTACCCCTGATCCATATAACTTCTACCACTGATCCATATAACACCTACCCCTGATCCATATAACCCTACCCCTGATCCATATAACTCCTACCCCTAATCCATATAAGTCCTACCCCTGATCCATATAACTCCTACCACTGATCCATATAACTCCTATCCCTGATCCATATAACTCCTACCCCTAATCCATATAACTCCTACCCCTGGCCCATATAACCCCTTCAAATCCTGGCTGCATTTCATTAACTCTCCTTTGCTGATCTGAGATCTGACTTTCAAAAAACATGAAAGGTGGAGCTATTGCTTTTACACCAGTCACCCAGTCATAGAGGTGGCAGGTAGCCTAGCTGTTAAGAGCATTGGGCCAGTAACCGAAAGGTCGCTGGTTCAAATCCCTGAGCCAGAAAGGTGGAAAAATCTGCCGTTCTGTTATTCAGCAAGGCAGTTAACCCCCGACGACAACAGTTCCCCGGGCGCCGATGACATAGCCTTCAATTAAGGCAGCGACCCCGCACCTCACGGATTCAGAGGGGTTGGGTTAAATGCGGAAGACACATTTTGGTTGAATGCATTCAGTTGTGCAGCTGACTAGGTATCCCCTTCCCCTTCCCTTCCCTCAGATCCACACAGGGGAGTGAATGAGGGCAGAAGGGATTGTGTGCAACCTGGACTCAGGGGTTGATGTAACATAGTAAACGTGAATTGTTCTCCCTCCATTTAGTATGATATGTTACGTTTCGTATGGTATGTATTAATTTGTGGACGTCCATCATCCGTTTCGTATGATATGTTACGAATTCCAATTTATATGATATGTTACGAATTCCAATTTGTTGTTGCTAACAATAGCTAGGTGGCTAACATTAGCTAGACTAGGGGTTAGGGTTAGGGGTTAAGGTTAGGGTTAGGAGTTAGGTTAAAGGGTTAAGGTTAGTGTTTGGGGAAGGGTTAGCTAACATGCTAAATATTTCCAAAGTAGCTAACAAAGTAGTAAGTAGTAAGTCGCTAATTAGCTAAAATGCTAAAGTTGTCCATGATAAGATTTGAACACGCAACCTTTGGGTTGCTAGAAGTTCGCTGTATTTACCTTCTGTCTTATGTAACCATACCAACTTCAACGTATCATACTAATTTGAGTGTCCCGGATTTTCGGGACATTTTCGGTTACCTTGGGCATTGTGCGGTTTCATTTAGTAACATCATATGTCGTCACTGTTATAACAGCTTTGCATCAACCCAGCTCAATAAGGCTTTTCCTTAATAGGGAAAACAAGCAACAACAAAAAGTTAAATGAAACAACCAGATCCATAACATGACATAATAATTGGAACCATTGAAATCTCTCAGCCACAGTGGTGACGAGTCAAACAGACTCTCAGTCACGTTCAGTAAGCAAGACTTTTCAGTCATCATAATAGTTCATACATCATTCATTCAAGGAGCTCTCACTAAACAAGATGTGAGAATTTGGTTGAAACCTAGACTTCCTTCTTCAAAGTTGGAATAGGAACCGCACCCAACCCCCAAACGCCTGTTAGCATTGGAATTTCCACCTTACAATGTACCGGTAGGTACACTTTGACCTCCACTAAGGGTCATGTGACTAGAGAACATTCAATAGGAGCAGTGGACAGAAAGAGGCAACACTTCTTTATTTCCAGTAGCTGGACCACAGACAGATGAGCACTTCCCTAAACTGGACTGAAAGGGGGTGGTCCCTTTTATTTAGGATAAACACCAACCTCTTTTCCAGGAAAAGGTGTAGGTGTAGGTACTCAAGTTCACTCGTCAGAGAGACTTGCCATTTCTGAAGGCTTGGCGTAACCTTGTGCGTCTATACTCATACACCTACAGTGTGTGGGTGTAGTATGCTTTGGGTTTGTGGGTTCAGTGGTTACGTGTGAATGCACAGTATTTTAGCATGTGACATTTGTGTCATTTGAAGTGACATTGTGCAGTTGTTTTTGTGTGTTTGCGCTATGCTATGAGCTGATGAGTATTTATAAGTCAGTGTGAGAGTATTACATTGATCAGTGTGTACATGTGCTGTATGCTTTTTACATCTGCATGCTTCCCCGTTCAGCCATTTACAGTCAGTGACTCTCGTCTTGCCCTTTAGAATGAAGCCCTTGTGTTACTGTTACTGGGTGAAAGACTGAGAAAACAATGTAGCTTTCCAGGAAGCCACTCTGTCTTTCTCTATACATTTTCTTGTCACCCCCTGTGGGGTTTTCTCTGCTTCAATGCCTAAATGACTCATTTCAGGGAGGATAAACTAACGTTGACATTAATATGAATAAAAAAAGACATCTGCTGCTTCCAGACAAAGGGCCAATCCCAAATGTCCCCCTATCCCCTAGACCAGTGGTTGTGTTTTTGCCCGGAAGTAGCTCGCTAAATGGCTTGATAATTATTATGAACAAAAATATAAATGCAACACGCAACAATTTCAACGATTTTACTGAGTTACAGTTCATATAAGGAAATCAGTCAATTGAAATAAATAAATCATGCCCTAATCTATGGATTTCACATGACTGGGCAGGGACACAGCCATGGGTGGGCCTGGGAGGGCATAGGCCCACCCACTTGGGAGCCAGGCCCAGCCAATCAGAATGAGTTTTTCCCCACAAAAGGGCTTTATTACAGACATAAATACTCCTCAGTTTCATCAGCTGTCCGGGTGGCTGGTCTCAGACGATCCCGCAGGGGAAGAAGCCGGATGTGGAGGTCCTGGGCTGACGTGGTTACACGTGGTCTGCGGTTGTGAGGCCGGTTGGACGTACTGCCAAATTCTCTAAAATGACATTGAAGGTGGCTTATAGTAGGGAAATGAACATCAAATTCTCTGGCAACAGCTCTGTTGGACATTCCTGCAGTCAGCATGCCAATTGCACGCTCCCTCAAAACTTGAGACATCTGTGGCCTTGTGTTTTGTGACAAAACTGCACATTTAAGAGTGGCCTTTTATTGTCCCCAGCACAAGGTGCACCTGTGTATTTCTCATGCTGTTTAATCAGCTTCTTGATATGCCACACCTGTCAGGTGGAAGGATTACCTTGGCAAAGGAGAAATGCTCAGGGATGTAAACACATT